GACCGCCATATGTGGGGTGGTGACGTGGCCCAGCGGCAATGCATTTGCCCCTTGCTGTGACCACCCTGGTCACTATTGCGGGGTATTAACCATGAAATAGTAGGTGCCGTCTGCTCCACGGTGGACGTTTAAGGTCCCGTGGTGTCATTCGAAAAAGAGCTGATCATTGTGTACTGGTGCCGTCCAGATTTGCCAAATTATTAAATTTACCTGCAAAATACTCAATTGGTATTACACAGCAACATCGGTTCTACTGAGGACTACTACAGACTGCCTGTGAAACACACAGCACCTTAATGATTTTATTTAATCAGCACAACTGCAACTCTTGCTGGGTGGGCAGATAGTGCAGTATTTGTCTGTGTGCGGTCGTGGTAATAATGGTGCGTGTGTGCTGCTGTCTGTAAAATAAGTGGTTTGTGGTGTTGCTAGGCCTGCCTTCGGTGCCATTGTGGGGACAGGAGCCACCTGCACAAATCATCACTCCGCAACTTCCAGCTACCCCAAGGCAGCCTCCACCATTGCCTCGAAGCAATCGCGTCAAGTCTGGTTCGGACTTGGAGCTCGGCAAGCCCATCGCCAGCGTTCCCTCCCAGTCTAATGACGTTTGCAGCACCAGGTATCATCACAACCGCATGCGTGCATTACCCTGGGTGTGTTTTGCAAGTTGGTGGACATCCGCTTCAGCCTGGCAGAACCTACTGTCTTTCTATTTCCTCCACTGGGCGGAGCACTCTGCCACAAGGCTTAAATGTCACACTGCCAACTCGTGAATTGCCTTGGGTCTGAGTCCTGTATTTTTTTACCAGCTTTTATAGCTTCGACAGTTTGCATAAACTTTGTTGTTTATGGCCCCCCCTGGCTCCCGACAGCACATGCTGCTTGCAGACTGGAGCTTCGTGGTGAGCTATCAGAGAGCGGAGTTAATATTTAGTCAGTTACACTCTGCAGAACAGGGGGAGAACATTCAACCTCCACACAAAAGAGGCACCGGAGGGAAAAAGCTTCACAACTCATTGGAATCCTCCAGTCTAAATAAAGGTTCTTGATGTGAGGAATAAGTGGAACCACTGCGCCACCACCCTGCCATGTTGGTATGGGAAGGTGTGATCACTGCGATGGCCGAGAAACCTCCCGTCGTGAATGTGCTTGCGTGTGTGCGGCTGTGCGTGTGTGCGGCTGTGCGTGTGTGCGGCTGTGCGTGTGTGCGGCTGTGCGTGTGTGTGGCTGTGCGTGTGTGCGGTTGCCCCCCAGGTGTGCAGTGCCCGGCTGCTTCTTGGCAGAGCTGTCGAGTCCTTCGTGCCACTACGTTCGCAACTTCAAGAAATGCAAGGCCCAGCTTACGGCGTCGCTCTACAAATTCTACAATGAAACCGTCTTTAAAAATAAGGTCTGGTGGACCATGCTGTTGGAAACTAAAACGTTCAAATTGAAATGACAGTTTTCTGTAATGTATGAACAACTGGCAGTGACTGACCGGTTAAGTTAAAAAGACCTGTATACAGTATCAATGCTGAATCCATGCCTTCTGGCCACTTGTTTGTGCAAAATACCAGCTGCCAAACAACATGGAGCTGCTGTGGAACAACAAGATGCGCAAGACAGCTGGCTACTGTGTGATGGGAAAGGGGCCTGGACCGGCTTGCCAACCCTACGCACGCATCGAGCTTTCCGTCAAAGTGTGCGACAATGCCGGTACTGCAAGCTTGTGAGATGCGACCTACAGAAGGTTTCTTAATGCTTTCCAACTGGGTTTGAACGCGGTAATGCATTCGCTCTGTAGCGGAGGGTCACGTTAACTCTCGTAAATATAATTATCCAATGTAAATTAATGCGAGGAAAACATGTGTTTATTAGTGATTTATTGTAGAGAGAACACGCCACATTGATCAAAGTCCCGTTCATTAACGTGTCTGTTTTATAAATGGCAAGCAGTGTCCACACCTGAGTTATATGTTGTGCAACCAAATCATGCCCGAACTCTTGTGGTATAATCTCCTGTAACTGCTTGGTCCACATCTGAGGCTGTAGTTGCAGAACAAGGATGTGTCTGGTGTTGCTAAATTGTCTGGCCATGCTCTTTACAGCATAGCTCTGCCACGATTCTGGTTAGCTCCACCATACACCCAGGTAACAACCGATCGGATCACAAATGTGCATGTGGTGAAAAGGTCGGTACAAATTGCTGAGCAGATGGCTTGAAAATATTTCATCTCATTTGTGAGCAACATGTTGCGTATTGTTCACTGCGATGGCATCCGCACACAAGCTAATTGGCTACATGCAACCGATATGGATGTGCCTGTACTTTGAAAACTAAAGACGAGAAAACAACGAATTGTTACAATGGCGTCGATGTGTTTGATGCACGGCACAGAGCGGCTTCGCGACACGCTGGTGCACGAGATGTGCCACGCCGCCACGTGGCTCATCAACGGGCAACGCGATGGGCACGGGCGGCTGTGGCAGCTGTACGCACGCACCGCCACGCTGGTGCACCCCGAACTACCGACCGTGTCGCGCTGCCACACCTACAACATCACCTTCAAGTACCGCTACGAGTGCACGCGCTGCAAAAACAGGTGCCACTGCATCATTGCACACGGCTCCTAAACAATGTCACAGGTTTTTTTTTATGGTAGCGTGTTCAAAGTTTGTTGTAGAGATTTGTGCTTTGAATTTGGCAGGCCGCCTCGGTTAATACGGGGTGTATTAAACAGGTGATTTGGCAGGAGTGCGGGCAGCTCGCAATTGGAAGATTGCGAGTTCAAGTTCTCGTGAGGGATTGACTCAGCTTCTGGGATGTCAACATTTGTTGTCCTATGGATATACTCACTTCTGCCATACGAATGTGGAATTTCCACAACTGGATCAGGACTTTAAATAGCAGATGAGCACCAGTGCCTCACTGCTTATTTTAGCAGGACATCACTGACGTTTTGCCAACCATTATATGGTTCATAGTGGATGCTCAAGATCCCATGGCACAATTCGAAGACGAGTAGGCCACTGTGCAGGCGGAAGTTTAAATGTGAATGGGGAATTTTGGTGCCACGTTGCAGGAACGAAACACTAATATGCAACATGAAACAAGCGTTTCATTAATGCTGTGTTGACGAGAGGCATGGAGATGTGATCTCTCTGGGTGGCGGTGGCAATCAGTGCTCTTCACTGAGGGGGGCACCATACGAAAGAGGTTGAGAATCCACTTTGGAAGAAACGTTTAGGTTTTTATCATGGATTTTATTACGCAACAATAGTAGATGCTGCCCGCACACTTATTGTACAAGCTGCACCGTTTAACTGTCGTTCCTCGTCCTTCCCAGCATCGGCCGGCACAGCAAGTCGCTGGACACGGAGCGGTTCGTGTGCGCGCTGTGTCAGGGCCGCTTTGTGCTGCTGCCTCCCGAAGGCCGGGGCAGCACACCCGTCGCCAGCAGGGCCCTCACACCGTTCACGCGCTTTGTGAAGGAACAGTATGGGACCACGCGCTCGGCCCGGCCGGACAGCAGCCACGCAGACATCATGCGCATTTTAGGCGAGCAGTTCTCTAAGAGCAAGCTGCAATGAGTCGTCAGGGTATTGTCAAATAGGAGACTCTTGGTTGGGGCTACAAGGGACTTGGCAAACTGAAGGGAGCATACGGGTCCTTCTAATGTGGGTGAGGAATGTTTACTATGTATGGGTAACCAGTGATTAGCGATTCAAATGAGATTTGAGGCATTGGTACTCTTCTCCCTTTTACAGCCCTGAGCCATTGGTGGAAATTTAGCATTTCTAGTGTGGGGTGAGATTACAAGACAACCACTTGACTTATTCACAAAGTGGCACTAATTTTTATCGATGCCAGAGGGACGATGAACTGAGTTCCCCCCCACCCCACCTTGATTTTAACTCTCTGCCTTCTGATTGTGGGCTCCTCGCTCTACCGCTGATGAGCCGCCTGGCCAGTTGAGGAATGTTCAACAGAAAATGAGCAGCTATGTGAAGGTGACTGCCATGTTTGAATTATGCTGGTAGGAAACGTGTTGGTTTGTGAGTTTATTTTTTAACGTTTAAAATATAAATAAAGATAACTAGTCACTTGAGAGGAATGTATTTTATTAAATACACTGAAGCATAGCAATGTTCTCAAAATTGCAGTCGATGGTTCCTCCGTTTAGCGGTTATCCTACGATCGCTTACAAAAATGTCTTTCTGCAGTGGTTTTGTCCAAAAAACCGTTGAAATATCTGGGCAAAGGCTCCCTCCAAAAAGACTAAGTGATGGCTACATGTGATGTACACTACCCACACCAACCCTTCACACCAATGTGTGGAATAAAATAGTAATTCTAAACAAGGCATTGACAAAAGCAACTCGTTTGTTCACCCAGCCCCATGATTGGGTGGTGGAATACACGACCTGCTGACTATCCCAGCAAGAAGTTTGCGCGTCACCACCTGCACAGTGGGCACTGTGTGTGACCCAGGCCGAGATGTGCGTTTTGTTAATGTATCTACATATGCACGAGCTCACGGTCAGAAGCTTTGGAACATGGGGGGATTGGGGTGTTGTGTGCGAGCATGTCTTTGGGGTTGTGTTTATGAGTGGGTGTGCGAGCATGTCTTTGGGGTTGTGTTTATGAGTGGGTGTGCGGGCATGTCTTTGGGGTTGTGTTTATGAGTGGGTGTGCGAGCATGTCTTTGGGGTTGTGTTTATGAGTGGGTGTGCGAGCATGTCTTTGGGGTTGTGTTTATGAGTGGGTGTGCGAGCATGTCTTTGGGGTTGTGTTTATGAGTGGGTGTGCAAGCATGTCTTTGGGGTTGTGTTTATGAGTGGGTGTGCGAGCATGTCTTTGGGGTTGTGTTTATGAGTGGGTGTGCGAGCATGTCTTTGGGGTTGTGTTTATGAGTGGGTGTGCGAGCATGTCTTTGGGGTTGTGTTTATGAGTGGGTGTGCGAGCATGTCTTTGGGGTTGTGTTTATGAGTGGGTGTGCGAGCATGTCTTTGGGGTTGTGTTTATGAGTGGGTGTGCGAGCATGTCTTTGGGGTTGTGTTTATGAGTGGGTGTGCGAGCATGTCTTTGGAGTTGTGTTTATGAGTGGGTGTGCGAGCATGTCTTTGGGGTTGTGTTTATGAGTGGGTGAGTGTAGGGAAGTTGGCAAAGGTGGTGCCAGAACACTCCGTGTCTGTCTCGTAACCTTCGGCCAGCGAGCCCCCCGCAACCTCCGATGAGCACAGTTGGCTACGTATGGTGCGAAAGAAGTTCAACAACATAGTAGCCTGGCACAAGGGCCTGTGGTCATGTCACTTGGTGGTGAAAGGCAGTTTGTGTGTGTAAGTGGACATGCAAGTCAGGGTATATATGTGGTGGGTTGTGTGACAGTGCAGAGGTTAGCGCAGTGGGCAGAATTCAGTTCATGTTCACGCCTAACAGTGGCAAATATCTGAACCGGTCCCAGTCCTTCCCGAGACCGTGTAAACATCACCACTGGGGAGACAAAGGTGGTTGGGCGTGTTTTCATGCCATATCCCCATCTCGTGAGCAATGCCAGCTTTCATATCTGCTCACCATCTGCCCCAACAGCCTGTGTAGGCTTCATAGGATCTGTGTATGAGAGTAGTGGTGTTTACGTGTGTGAGGTTACGTGCGAGATGGATCACTGCCCCTCGACCCACGTGGCAATGCCGGCTGTTGGCGTGGCAATGCTGCTGTTCACATTGAATTGCTTCAGGGTGAGCTCCAGCTGCTGCTGGTTTCCAGCGAAGTAGGCAGAGGTGGCATTGTGGAAGAGAAGAAGCTGCTTCTGCATCACCTTCACCTGACCGCAGGGAAGACCGCACTTCAGTGGTTAGTATGCGACAGGGTTGTTAAACGGCACCCAGTACAGCAAAACTGGTTTCCGAATCGGTTACCGGGGTTCAAAAGTCGGGGACAGGCAACCCATTCCAGTGAAATTTTAAGAATCGACCGATTGGCACGCACGAACATACAAACGGCTCGGCGGCCTAAATCACAGCAGGATTCATTTGCCCTCATTTCTCAGTTAAAAGTTGCTCAATGCTGCTGGGGTGGGGGGCTCTAGAGGGTATTTGGTGTATTTATCCATGCTGAGCAGATACCTTTGTAAGAGGTGAGTGGGACCACAATTGACCCCACCACATGCAAGCTGCCAATCGACTGGTGAACCCCATTGACACCGCTGAAAAAACTTGGCAGGACCCTCCTGAAAAAGCCCTGAGACTCGGTGAGGTTTTCCCGGCTATATAAGCAGAATGATAAAAAAAATTACCTTATTTTCATCCAGAAATTTGAGTTTGATGGCAACGTCGTCGCGGAGACGTTCGAATTTGTCCTTGTGCGAGAGGAAGTGTTTCTGGGCGACGTCGAGACGTTGGGCAGAGGCCGGGTCTGTGGCCGAGCTCCTCAGGAGCTCCACGTCCGCCCGGTAAGCGTCGAACTGCAGCCTGCGGCCAGTGCCAGGCGGGACGCAGTAACATCACTATCAACATTACACGGCAACATCACCATCACAGGAGACAATCATTGAACATCACATGGGACACTAATTCCACAGTATCAGCAACACCACACACGACTGCCAATCGGCACCATCACGACTATCGCCATCGCACAGCCACAATCGCCACCACAACCACAAATCAACATTACGACCACCAACGCCGCACTGACAACCACCACACCTCAGAGGTCGCAAACGGGTTTTGATTCCTTACCCGGCCGCACCAGGGTCGCAAACGGGTACCCGTACCCGGCTGGCCGGGTACGGGATAGGGTACGGGTATCGGGTACCTGATTGCGACCTCTGGGATGAAGCCATGTTGTAGGCGCGGGTGGGTTGATTCTAGGAACTTGAATTGTGAGAAGAGACAAGACGTTGGGAAATGAGTGACAAACAGTTACCAGTGACTCACGGTCTACCCGTACAAAGTGAGTTTAGTCGAAGATGCAGACCAGTGTTGCCATTGTTGCTGTATGGATTCCTGGTGTCTTGCTGTCCCATTGCACGCCTGTGTTGTCTATCAGGTGTTGCTCTCTGTTTGCGTGCTGCTGTCTGTCGCCCCGCTGTTCTGCTGTCTGTGTGACAATACTGTCTCTGTGGCGTCGCTGCTGCCACTTGTGGTTATCACCTGGCAGCCTCATAGTGGCGCACAGTCATCAGGGTGTCGGCCATGGTCTTGTTGGTGAGCGTGTTGATGCTGTTGACGAAGAAGGTGAGGGCGCGGAGCAGCGTCTCCCCGTTCTTGCACAGCAGCCGCTGCGTCTCCGCGTTGTAGCTGAACTCCTCCTGGTGTGGGACCACGCCAACCTCGTCACACCGAGTCAATCACCTCGTCACAATGACAACCTCAAAGCACCTCAAGTTGCCGTACACCTATTTACTGTGGCAAAAGTGACCATTACATGGCCACCAGTGTTTTTCCACGTCGTCAAAGAGAAACAAACTCGCCAGCATTTTAGATTTTAAGTTCAGGGCTTATTCAAAATTAGTGCGACAGGCTGGTGCATGATCACAAACACTGATTTACAACAGCAGGCTGTGGCCTTCACAGCGAGTGCTCCCCCCCCCCCACCCCCATGCTGCATCGCTCACAGCCAGATCCTCACCCTCGCGCTTCACACCCTCCACCACCCCCCCTCACGAGCATCCATGCCGATACACAGAGGAAGTGTGACTTTCGCTTGTATGGATAAGAGGAAGATGGCGAGTGGGTGGGGGAGGTGGGACAATAAGTTGGGAGCCGGGGGATGAGTGATTGAGTTACGTGCCAGTAAGTGAGTGAATGTGTCACTGGACGGGCGAGTGGATGGATGTGCGAGTGGGTGGGTTAGTGAGTGTGTGAGGGGATGGAAGCGTGGGTGGGTGAATGCGAGTGGGTGGATGAGTGATTATATGAGTGTACAGATGAATACGTGCACATCTATGTGGGTGGTATTTGAGTGTGTGAGTGATTGGGGAGGATTGGTTGGCACGTGCTGGGGGGGTGGGGGGCATGTGAGCCAGCATGGCTGGACCACTGGTAAGGAGCCAGGGAGGGACCTGCAGATCAGGAGACTTGTGGCCAAGATCAGAGAAGCAGTCGGCCAGATTGCGCTGTGCCGTGACGACCAACTGGAAGTGCGCCAGCATGGAGCGCGCCACCCGCAGCAGCGCACGGTAGCGCCGCCTCGTCTCTGTGAGCGCCACCACGCGGGCAGACAGCTCTGGGTCCAAGGTGCGGGAGCCTCGGCCCAGCTGCTCCGTCACCATCTGTCGTGTGCACTAAACACAAATACAACGATCCCACATCTAGGCAGGCCGAGCAGGCTCTTGGGGCGAGTGCTGTTTGTGAGAACCTATGAAGGCCACTATGGTGCACGAGGGGGTGGTGAAGTCGGCACCGTGCCCAGCCGCCTTTCTCTCCCAGTGCCTGATATTTACACGCCACACCAGGTATTCACGTAAGACTGAGTCGACTTAGGGGAGGCCCAGGACCTGTTCAAATATTAATCACCGTTGGCCGTGAGCGGGAATCGAACTTGGAATGCCAGGTTCTTAGTACCATGCCCGAACTGTTGCTCTATGACACGCACACGCAGTGTGGCTGTGCAACGGGCTGTTGCGGAGGCTGCATTAAACACTTTTTTTATTTGTTTTGTAACCGTTGTTTTTGGTCATTTTACATTTGCTTCATTCAAGTATTTGTTTTATAATAGTTTTTTACCCTTCTATCTGGCACCAAAACTGACACCTTTTTACAAGGAGTCATGTTTGCATAGACCACAATACCTGCAGTCATAATGCAAACAAAAACATAAATCTGATGTGCACTGTCCTTGAAGTTGATTGGTCCACACCCGAGACAGCTTTCCTTAGAGCTCTCATACTCTGATGGTGCATTGTCTTTGAGTTGTGCGCCTTTTGGCGTCATCTGGTCCAACCCATGTGAGACTAGGCTCTAAGGAAAGCTGTCTCGGGTGTGGACCAATCAACTTCAAGGACAGTGCACATTATCAGATTTATGTTTTTTGTTTGCATTATGACTGCAGGTATTGTGGTCTATGCAAACATGACTCCTTGTAAAAAGGTGCCAGATAGAAGGGTAAAAAAAAACAATTATATTTTTACTGGCAAATGAGGTTCCCATGGTGTAAATATTTGTTTTATGTTTTGGCTTCTGTCATTGTGGTGACCTTGATCACTCTTGCAATTGAGACTTCTCCTGGTCTGTTCAGTTCTCACCTGGTTCAGCAAAATAACCTTGGAACTTGAAATACAGTGCAGAATAACGGCACGGACGATCGTAAAACACACGATTCATGCATGCCACCCTTACCTTGTAGGTGTTGAGGCTCCAGTTGCGTACTATCTCCAGGGTGCTAAAAGCGAGGCCCATGAAGCCTGCATCTCCAGCAACAGCCGGGCTGTTTAAAGATGCTTGCGTCTCCTCTCCTAGCGTTCCTGACGCACACACGCCACGTGTGACCACAGAGAAGGCAGCCAGGCACCGTGCAGCTACAACAATGGCAGGCTTCACAGCCTTGTGACCGAGCAAATGCCGACACAAAGCCGACTTGGGAGGACAGCACAAACGACACAGCATCTGCACTAGCAAATACCACAAACCAGGTCGGGTGCTCTTTATAGCTGCTGCCGTGTGTGCGGGTGAAATCTCCCATCACCCAGATATGGCCATTACACCACCAGGTAGGAATGTGAGCTGGGGCTGACTGGGTAGAGCACCATGGGCCCCGCTGTGTCAACTCCGGTTGCATTTCGCGCCAGTGTTGGCCTCTGTCGCTTGTACTCGCTGAAGTTGAGGCATCTTACAAAAGTGGGTTTATAGCTGACGCTGGCAGACAATGGCATACTCCACTTTGATGCAGCACTAACTGCTGAGGCAGAAATAATTGATACGTTGGTTCATAGGAGTTGACAGAGTACATGTATACATTCATTGTTCACTATAAATGAATGCATACAAACATGGGGCACAGTGCCACTGCACACATGAACGCAACACTCGTGAAAATTTACAGAACACATGAACACAACCCACTTATCGCATATATGAATACCTACACCTCAACTGCGGTCTTAGTAAATTTGCTTATGAAATGGGATTGCATTGGTCCATATTTATCCAGCAACACTGCTTCCAAGAAATCTTTTTAAAGAGGGTCCTACATTTGGTTTGAATTTTAAGATATTTACAGCCAATTAATGAGTGTTCAAACACGTCGGAGGAAACCCATTCACGCGAGGAGGAAAAACTAACCCTGTACAGGTGGCGATGAGTCTACTTGCTATACTGTCTTCTCCTGCCAAGGCACGGTACTGGTACCTCGACGCCCACGGGAAGGTAGTTTCACAACATTTGTGTGATCCATCAACCCTCGCCTCCACAGTACTGGATCGCAGGCGTGCGCCACCACTGCCGCCCGACTAATGATGCCCAATGTATGTTATGCTATGCACAGCATGAATGTATTATTATTATTCCGCTTGGTTACCCAGGAAAGCCTCGCTGAGTGTCAATTATTTTCTGAGAAGTTCCCGTCAAGGTTTTGCAGTCGGGGGGGCAATCCTCGCTGCGCCTAATCCCAATTGAGTAATACGAATGGCGTGTTTCCGCATTGGAATGTTTGACCAATACCAGTCACAATGTATGTTATTCTTTTCAATCTGTGTTAGAAATCCGTGTAGAACAAGGGGAGACCATACAAACTCCACACAGAAAGGTGCCCGAGTCTGGAATCGAACCCAGGCACTTGCTGTGAGGTGTGAGTACAGTATGGAAAGCACTACACTCCAGCCAATGCTGTATTGTGGATACTGAAATAGACCTGCAATGCCTGAGGAAATAAAGGCCATTAACGAAGCATACTCCACTGTGTCCCTCACAAGAAGCAAGAAGAAGACACCCCAAGCATCGACAGGCCACCGTGCCGGTCTCGGCAACATTTTACAGCCAATGAACAGGAAAATCAGGAGGAAAACAACTTGATCAAAATAGCGAGTGTTTGAAACGCGCCGAGGCACAGCAGCACTTTCTTAATAAAAAGGAGCCTCACAACAAAGGGCTGCACATGCACAGAACTGGTGTATGACAGGGCAGCAAGGAAGCTTCTGCATTAATGCAGGGGACAAGCCGAGCAGTCCGCCGAAGGCCTGCCGGCGATTTCGTGTGGCCTGGCATGGGCCACATCGCCCCACGTAGGAGGGTCGCCACCAACTTGATTACAGTAGAATGCACAGTTTAGTTAGACCTGAGCTGAGAAATTCTTTGGGGGTTTGGTCTATGGAAAATGTGGCGGCGACCCAACCTCATGCTGGACACCGATAGCCGAGGCTGTCAACACGAGGCCCATGCGTTGCCGCCTTTGTTACCTAGAAGGGCATGAGGGCCCATGCACTCCACTGTTGCCTGGAAAGACGTTTGCTATTTAAGCTTTGGATGCAAGTCATCACAGTTGGCAGCAATTGTGCTTCCCATTGTTCTGAGGACTAAATGGCACAAGCAGGTGTGTGGTTACCAGCGAGAGGCTGGGAAGCAGCAGAGGTTCTCACTAGACAAGCCCCACCACCAGTGAGCAAGCTACGAGTAAGCATAGGAGGGGCAAACCCTGGCCCAGAATCCTACTCGTTCCTGGCCCGCCTCCCACAAAGTAAGGGTTGTATTTGGCCGAAGGTCCTGTGTACACCACCCACATGCGCAAACAAAAGGGAAGAGAATTAACTCGAACTGAGTTGAGTGATTGCCTGGGGAGTATGCGATGCAAGGATAGCTGTGATTGTATAATGAGTTTGTGTGACGTCAAAAGCATGCATGCACCACACGTACTGTAAGGATATTTTATAATAAAATAAATTAGCATAGTGTAAAAAAAATGCACATCTCACTGGCCACACAGCCTTCTGTGAGTGCATTATTTCAGCATCACAGGTTCAACGGAAGCAAACAAGACTGGTGTTGACATTGAGTGTCTCAACAGCAGGCAGGCAGGCATGCTTAAACCAATTCTGGAAAAATTGCCAGGTGTGACCCTGTTACATATGGATCCTAAAAATGTTTTCGCATTTGATAATAGGTTCCTTCTGCAATCGATTTTGTCCTCAAATGTGACGAAGCAACAGCCTTGAACCTGCAATCATGCTGCCAGCGCTGGCGAGATGTCGTGGTGCACAGGCATGCCATGAAATGTGGGGTGCACGCACCTTGCATGTTTCCCGTGCGTATCGAGGGAGCAGGTGGCTCCATCCCATGGTACTCGGCAGCAGACAACCCGTGAGGTCCCAGCTCTGCATTTGATGTCATCACATCCTCGAAATCCTGTTGTGTATGCGCACGGCGCATGGTGGTATTTGCGCCATTCTTATAGCGCAGGGCTGTTTTTCATAGACATAGCTTGCAGCAGTTTAACGGACGGGGGCAATGTTGTCTGTAATAATCCCAATGGAGTGTATGGAAAATGTTGACAATGAATATCGCAAAAGCGTTCGCGACCAATGTGATGCAGACAATTATATTTTATGGTTAGTACACCCGCAGTATTAACCAGGGCGGTCTGCCGGACTCCGACCTCTAACCTCTGCAATAAGTGGCGAGCGCGCTAACGCTGTGCCCGTGTCTGGGGGCCTTGCCGCTGTTCTTAAACATTTCATGCCACGTACACCGTGCACGATGCGTTACATATTCACATATGCCAACAAAAAGCACCTTGCTGAACAAAATGTCTTCGCAAATCATCAAGGAAGGCGGGGCTAAACACCACACCTCGCTGTGCAAACCGTCTCTCGGTAAACACAAGCTCCCACACGCAGCCAGGACTTACTATGCACAGCTTAAACGAACAGGACACACATTTCTACACACGTTTATCTAACTCAAGATAAAGGCACGCACTCCCGCTTGAGTGCAAATGAAGTGCTTGCTCAAGCACTGCAAATACATTCTGCACTGCCGTACACAAAAACCCCGTTGTCTGATACACATTACTTTTCCCACAGGACCGTACCACCACAAACGTTGTCTTTTGCGAAAACATTCCACAGGAGGCCCGAATAGGGCCCCATGTGTTATAATATCACCTCCACCAGCCCAGGTGGAGCACACGACCCTACACCCTCACCACTCCCTCACCTGTACCAGACATTATTGGGCGCTTTTGCCGATTTTTGAACGAGATTCACAGTTCGTATGCGGCGGCCGCCCTGGTTAATGCTCCTGGTGTATTAACCGTAATAATAACTATAATACGCGGCGCCTGCTTTAACAGTGGACGTTAAAGATCCCCCTGGCATCATACGCAAGAGTTAGGCCACTGTGTGCCGGCCGTCAGAGTCCAAATGACAGCAGCAAATCATCGACCACCAAACTGGCAGACCAATGCCCCAGGTCACTCCTGCAAAATCCATGTTCCACCCATCTCGCCCCCGAGGTGTCACCTGGATAAACCAAATCAACTTGGGCCCTTCGACCGCCTGCTACTGCTCCCGCTGCACCTGCGTCAGACACGCCGCGTCTCACCTGGCCACACTCCGCTCCCGTCCCGCCGTCAGAGAACCCGACCGCCGGAGTGACCTGGGCCATTGCGTCTGCACCCAACCTCGCTCCCCTTCACCACTCGATGCCCTCACAGCTCCTGCAGGGAGAGAGCAGAGAGGGAGGGGAGACGATGTGAGCGGACATTGAGAGAGGCAGGGGGAGGGGGTGGGCAGTGGGGGGCACGGCGATGAGATGGGACACAGAGAGAGGCGACAACGGTGACTGACACGGGTGAGGTGAGTGGCGGAGGACACACGGAGAGAGGGGGGCAGGGAGAGGGGGGTGATAGGGGGGGCAGGGAGAGGGGGGGCAGGGAGAGGGGGGTGATAGGGGGGGCAGGGAGAGGGGGGTGATAGGGGGGGGCAGGGAGAGAGGGGGGTGATAGGGGGGGCAGGGAGAGGGGGGGGGCAGGGAGAGAGGGGGGGGGCAGGGAGAGGGGGGGGCAGGGAGAGGGGGGTGATAGAGGGGGGGGGGCAGGTAGAGGGGGGGGGGGGGGGGGGCAGGGGAGAGGGGGGGCAGGGAGAGGGGGGGGCAGGGAGAGGGGGGGGGGCAGGGAGAGGGGGGTGATAGAGGGAGGGGGGGGGGGGCAGGGAGAGGGGGGGGGGCAGGTAGAGAGGGGGGGGCAGGGAGAGGGGGGGTGGCTCTGGGCCCAGGTTACGGGGGGCGGGCTACAGGAGGCGCAGGGAGATGGCGACATCGCGAACTCGGCGCTGGGGTCGTGAGCGCGGCGATGATGATGAACGCCCCGTCGCTCCGTGTGGCCCCCACCAGCCCCACCAGCCCCACCGCGCCTTGCGGCGCCGCTGACGACGACGACGGCAAACAGCAACGACCTCACGGGCAGACGCAGCGGCGGCGGCGGCGGCTTCATCAGCGGCACTCACTCACCGCCTCGCTCGACGGCGCCTGCTCCTCGCCTCCTCCTCCTCGGCCTCGTCCGTCTCTCCTCCCTCTCCCCTCTCTCTCTGTCTCTGTCTCCCCTCTCAGCGCGGAGTCGACGCGGCCTCTCTCCCCTCCTGCCGTTGCCTCTCGCACGAACCCCGGGTCCCCTGTCTCCTCCCTCCCTCCCGGGGGGGGCGGGGGGGCTGCTGTCTCGCTCTCTCAGGCCGCCTCCTCCTCCTCCCCCACCCCCTCCTCCTCCTCCCCCACCCCCTCCTCCTCCCCCCACCACCCCCACCCTCCTCCTCCTCTCCCACCCCCTCCTCCTCCTCCCCCACCCCGTCCTCCCCCTCCTCCTCCTCCCCCACCACCCCCAACCCCCCTCCTCCTCCTCCCCCACCACCGCCACCCCCTCCCCCACCACCCACACCCCCTCCTCCCCCCCACCCCCTCCCCCCCCACCCCCCCCCACCCCTCCCCCACCACCCACCCCCTCCTCCCCACCACCCCCTCCCCCACCACCCACACCCCCTCCTCCCCCCCCACCCCCTCCCCCACCACCCACACCCCCTCCTCCCCCACCACCCCCTCCCCCACCACCCACACCCCCTCCTCCCCCCCCACCCCCCTCCCCCACCACCCACACCCCCCCCACCCCCTCCCCCACCACCCACACCCCCTCCTCCCCCACCACCCCAACACCCCTCCTCCCCCCCCACCCCCTCCCCCACCACCCACACCCCCTCCTCCCCCACCACCCCCTCCCCCACCACCCACACCCCCCCACCCCCTCCCCCACCACCCACACCCCCTCCTCCCCCACCACCCCCTCCCCACCACCCCCACCACCCCCTCCTCCCCCACAACCCCCACCACCACCGTCTCCTCCTCCTCCGCCCGTCGCGTCCAGCAGAGGGCGGCAGGGAGGCGAGGGACCTCCCCCCGGCAGGGCCCTCTCACGCCCTGACCGTGAGATTCGTCAAATTTACGCTTCCTTGCCAAACCCATTATCACTCTGATTTGAAGCTTTCGTGACTGCAGGAATCCCATACTCGTTGGTTCTTTCGGTAAAGTCGCGTGGGTAGAGGAAAATAATCGAGCACGACGTTTCGATCGCAATACAAGTGACCGTCTTCAGGTGGGAGAGAGAAAGCTACTGAAACGAGGTCTTATGGGGCCGTCCATAAATGATGTCACGAGATTTTGGCCGATTTTTGACCCCCCTCCCTCTCGTCACATGGCGTCACAAAAAATCAGACCCCCCTCAAATATGACGTCACAAAGCTCTGCCCCCCCCCCCAAACCATATTTCCATTTTGAAAATAAAACATGCTTCAAATCGCTTTAAACTATTGTCACTATAGTGCGTATTTAATGTGGCGCTGCACTCTGATGTTGCAGGAGATAACACGTATTAAAAAGGAGGCGTTGGAAAGCTGAAATTTAGCATACAATTCACTTGAAAATATTCAACATCTAACTAAAACTGCAGATGTTCAGAATATTATATTGAAATTATCTTTTAATTATAAAATATGAAAAGTAATTATAATTATAAAAAATACTTGAAACTTTGTAGTAGAACGAAACAAAATTGAGAGTAGAATTATAACAATCACATATGCATTCCACAGAATGAAAAGGCCTGGTAGAATCATTAAAATCTAAATGTTTAATAACAATCATTCAAAGAATTTACAAAATGTATGCTTCTCCATTCTCCCATGGAGAAGCAAAATGCTCCTTTATGGAATAAATAAAATGTGACCTTAGTAAATTTAAATAATCAAATAGTTAATAATGAAAAATAAAAATTAGTGTTATAACAATTCTATTTAATTAAGGATAACGTGCTGTTTATATTTATTTAAAGTTGCGCATTTTACGTGACATAACATTTCTCAAACCCCCCTTCCCCCCCTCGTCACACATCCTGACAATTATCTGACCCCCCCCCTAGGTGCGTGACGTCATTTATGGACGGCCCCTATGTAGGCTTGAGATGGGTGCAGCCTCAGGGTAAGAGGTCGGGGCTCGAGATGATCCGCCTGAGGCTGTGTATGTGGCTGTTGTATTGTGAGAGATTAGTCCTTTGGATTGCACTCTCATGCTCACATGTCGTTTGGATTGCACTCTCACACAAGGCAAGTCACCGATGCTGCGACACACTAAGCTCGTGCATTGACAGGCTAATCTCTCACAATATGGTAGTGCAGGAAGTACGCCATCAGGAGGAGGCTGCAAGGTGGGCCAAGGCAGTCTCTCTTGCCAAACAGGGACAGTGGACTCGATGGGACAGTGTGGAGAAGAGGAAGATCAGCTGGAAGGATCTGTGGGCCATGGAAGCGAGGCGGTTGAGCTTTTCCATCAGACGTCCTTCCAACACCAGTTAATCTTCACCAATGGTATGGTGAAGATCCGGACTGTGCCCTCTGTTCCATGCCAGCCAACCTCAGGCACATTCTCACAGGGTGTAAAACAAGCCTCACCCAAGGACGCTACACTTGGCGTCACAACCAAGTCCTTAAAAACCTTGCATCCGCCCTGGAGGACAAGCGAACTGCCACCAACTCCCTACCACCCCCAGCAGCATCACACCCCTTACGGACGACCTTTGTCCGCGAAGGGGCTAAACCACCAAAGAGCGGCTCTACACCAATAGAGCGAGACCAGCTGCGCTTGGCCCGCGACTGGAAAATGCTAGCTGACATTGGCCGGCAACTTGTGTTTCCTCCGGAGATCGCAACCACCACCCTAAGACCTGACATGGTGCTCTGGTCCCGTTCGCTCAAGAAGGTCTTCATCATTGAGCTCACAGTACCCTGGGAGGACTCAGTAGATGAGGCTTATGAGCGAAAACATCTGCGCTATGCCGATCTAGCTGCCGAAGCACGGCATCATGGCTGGAATACAGAAGTCCGACCAGTGGAGGTGGGCTGCAGAGGTTTTGTGGCAACATCTACAACCAGACTGCTTAGAGACCGGGGAATTAAGGGCCAGAGCCAGCGTTCGGCAATCAGAGCCGTATCGGAGGCGGCAGAAGGCAGCAGTCAGTGGCTCTGGATGAAGAGGAAAGACCCCAGCTGGGCCCCAAAGTGAGAGGGCCAGGAGGTATGCAGTCAACAATGCTTGACTCAGGGAGGAGGACGCCCCTGCCATGCATAGTCCCATGGGATGTTGGCTATCAACAACAAGGCAACTCCTATGACTAATTGGGAATGGGACGCAAGCGTAGGATTGATCGCCCTGTCGCTGGCCGCCTTTGGGGAGGGTGTATAGTATGAAAGGCCGAAACACCCTAGGACCCAAAGGTTCACTACTGACGATGCGCTCCCCAAATTTCACCAGGCTCACTGCCGAAGCACGGCATCATGGCTGGAATACAGAAGTCCGACCAGTGGAGGTGGGCTGCAGAGGTTTTGTGGCAACATCTACAACCAGACTGCTTAGAGACCGGGGAATTAAGGGCCAGAGCCAGCGTTCGGCAATCAGAGCCGTATCGGAGGCGGCAGAAGGCAGCAGTCAGTGGCTCTGGATGAAGAGGAAAGACCCCAGCTGGGCCCCAAAGTGAGAGGGCCAGGAGGTATGCAGTCAACAATGCTTGACTCAGGGAGGAGGACGCCCCTGCCATGCATAGTCCCATGGGATGTTGGCTATCAACAACAAGGCAACTCCTATGACTAATTGGGAATGGGACGCAAGCGTAGGATTGATCGCCCTGTCGCTGGCCGCCTTTGGGGAGGGTGTATAGTATGAAAGGCCGAAACACCCTAGGACCCAAAGGTTCACTACTGACGATGCGCTCCCCAAATTTCACCAGGCTCACTGTTCATGAACTCTTGGAAGTGCTTGCACAAAGGATAGTAACATCTCATCCTGTGTTCTTTGGAATCATACAAAGTCCCATCACAAGGGAGAAACACTAACAAAAAGACAACTTTTTTTTTTGCCCGTACTGAAACGGCTGTACGGCGTTTGGACCTGAAAACTCAATTGAAACCCGAGTGCCTGGAGAAAACCCCAGGCACAACGAGTGGGAAAGAGCACTGACGGAGCCAGTGGGGGGGGGGGGGGTGGCATGTGCCCCCCCCCCCCAATGATCCAATCGAAATCCCTAATTTAGATCGGATCATTGGGGTTTATTAGTAATAAATCGGCATTTTGCTACCCCCACTGCCACTGTGTAGCATATTATTGTGCCACGGACTCTATGAGATGATAGGACAATAGGCTGAGTCCATAATTAGCAATAAGTAGCGGCAAAGCAGTTATAAGTGACTCAGAATTGTGCACAGTTGCGTATACATGACACGACTTCCCTGAAGGCATTCACTTTCAGCGAGCGCGATGCCGATCACACAACGTGGTTCGAATTCGACCCTCGATCGATGGCTGCGCCATCGCCGCACACGCGTCGAATAGAAAGCAAGGGACAAGTCCTTACTTACTAACAACTCCTCACTAACAACTCCTCACTTACTAACAACTCCTCTATCATTTTTCATTGCTGGAGGGGTTGCCCCCCCCTGGGAAAGATTCGTTTTTCCAAACCCACTGATAACTCCAGTCAACCACCAATCACCGTGTACACAGCAGCAGCAGCAGCAAGCCTGTTTATTGTGTTTCACTTGCGCTGCTCCAACCACAGTATCGTCCTTCGGCGATGTCGATGCCTCACCACTCTTGTTTGGCGAGCATTTAACTCGAGGCCCACTCCGCCACCTTCTCTTCCAATAATGTTCCGCGCCTCATTGCCATTGGCCGTTATCACCGTGGCATCTGCAACTCTGAGATGGTAGATATTTGATCAATGTATCTTGATGCCTGTATTTATTTCTCAGTAACAATTTATGGAATATAGCATGCAATGCCACTGCGAATTGCCTTGGTCACTCCCTCTGCTGATTGCATCGTGCTATGTTCTACATACCAGCTCAGTGTAGCTGTCCCATAATTAAAAATGGGTTTGGGGCCGTCCATCAATGACGTCACGTGATTTTGGACGATTTTTGACCCCTCCCCCCTCGTCACACGGCGTCACAAAAAGTCAGACCCCCCCCCTCAAATATGACGTCACAAAGCTCTGCCCCCCTCCCCCCCAAAACCATATTTCCATTTTGAAAATAAAACATGCTTCAAATCGCTTTAAACTATTGTCATTGTAGTGCGTGTTTAATGTGGCGCTGCACTCTCATGTTGTAGGAGTGTTGTTATAACAATTATTGTTGTTCTAACAATTCTATAATTATTTAAAGTGACGCATTTTGATGTGACGTCACATTTCTCAACCCCCCCCCCCCTCGTCACACATCGTCACAAATGTCTGATCCCCCCCCATGGTGCGTGACGTCATTTATGGACGGCCCCTTTGATCACTTCTGCATGTACAGTATATTACAACTGGCCAGATGTCTCAGTGCTAGAGCGGGTTGCTGGCAATCGGAAGGTTGTGAAATAAAATCCTGCTTGGGGGGGGGGGGGTCGACTCAGCCCATCATCTCCCTGGGGTTGATAAAATAGGTTCCACAATGTGGGAGCGTCAACAGTGGTTGTCCTATGGTTAGGGGCCGTCCATAAATGACGTCACGCGATTTTGGACGATTTTTGACTCCCCCCCCCCCCCCCCATCGTCACACGGCGTCACAAAAAGTCAGACCCCCTTCAAATATGACGTCACAAAGCTCTGCCCCCCCCCCCCCCAAATAAAAAATGCTTCAAATCGCTTTAAACTATTGTCATTGTAGTGCGTGTTTAATGTGGCGCTGCACTTTGATGTTGTAGGAGAAAACATGTATTAAAAAGTCTATTTAATTAAGTAGAACGTGTTGTCTATATTTATTTAAAGTTCCGCATTTTGATGTGACGTCACATTTCTCAACCCCCCCCCCCCCTCGTCAAAAAATGTCTGACCCCCCCCCCCTAGGTGCGTGACGTCATTTATGGACGGCCCCTTAGACTTGCTCTACCAATGGAATGGGGGAATTTCTGCCCCTGTACAAAGGAGATAACCACCACAATGTTAATCTGAGAATGTCACTTTGAATGTCATGCAAGGCCTGGGATTGTTAGAGCCTAAATTACAGCATAAGTCTCCACAACACTTTTACAAAGCCAATAGTGATTGTGTTTGATGTTGGTCTCTTCTAGAATCCGATTGGCAGTATTTATATTGGCTATGGTATAAAGTCGGTTGGCCAACACATTGTCCATGGGTTCTCCTTCAGTCTTTGTGAACAAATTATATTTGTGAGAAAAATCTATAATAAAAAAAAATGAAAAAAGTTTTGTCTGTCTTTTTACTGAGCAGGATGATTGATGAAATCGTCCATAATGTAGCACAGGGAATAGGTTAACTTAAATCAAGTAATTTTGTTGCAACAGCTGGTCCTACTGTATTATTTTCATAGTGAAGGTCAGTGGTCAACTCTTAAGTGTGACACCTGGACCACCCCCATCATCTTAAAAAAACAAATGTTTCCTGAAGTTCATGATGATATTTTTTTGCAGATATTTTCACAGAATTCCCCCAGATGTATGATTGTCTCTTTCACACGATTGGTTCCATCTTTCTCTCACGATCAGGGTGCCATTATGCCCAAAACCGTTGACTTGCGCATGATCGCAGCAGATGCTCCACAGTAGACAATGTCCAAGAAATTCCATGACAGTACCCTACCATCTGCCCTCAGATGGTTTCCTCCCCTTGATCGCCGAATTCATGGAAACCACTCCAATATATCTCGGCAATCGGTCCTCCCCCATCCTGGACCGCACGTCCCACTCACCGGTCAAGTTTTCATCTGAGCATCTGCATTGCTTCTGTCTTGTCACGAAATTCCCCGCACTCCGTCTCACACACCTGCGCTTCAATTCCAGAAACATTTTTTCGAGCTGCTTATTGAGCTCTCTGATCCATGCGATACTATGGACAGCACTCCCGCTACCTCAAGCAGACCGATGGCAGTTACAAAGGACGGGAGTGACTGCACGTGGTGCATCTCTCCAGCCAACAACCACACTATGACATCTCATTCTCAGCGTGTGATTTACCAATCATCAACTGCTTCTGTGCTGAAGATACTTCCGTGCTGTTCTGCTATTCATGTGATCATTTTCTAAATACTTTGAACAATAGTTGTAAGCATTTTATCTTTTGTTTGGCATTTTAATGTCAAAGATCCCAGTCCTCTCATTTACTTCAACATACACTGTGTTCACTTAAAGCTTTCGTGACTGCAGGAATTCATATTCTTTGGGTATTTCGGTAAAGCCACGTAGATAGAACAAATATTTAAAAAATAAAAATAATATCACGAAGTTTCGATCGCAACACAAGCTCTCCCGCTATATTTTTCACCTGACAACGATTGCTTGTGTTGCGATAGAAACGTCGTGATATTGTTATTATTTTTATTATTTGTTCTATCTACGTGGCTTTACCGAAAGACCCAAAGAATACACTGTGTTCTAACATTTTCTCCATTTGCTCTTTAACTTTTACCCAATTTGCAATGCGAGACGTCAGTTCTGACAATGTCAGTCCATTACAATGCGAGTCATGGTAATATCATTGACATCATATAGAGTGGAGCCACATGTGGTATTGTGTTTGGTATTGTGTGTTTCCTGCTTTTGGATTTGAATAAGCAGTCTGACCTTTAAAACACTCTAAAACTAAACTTCAGGGCAACTTCCAAAAGTAAGAAAAAACAACTCTTGCATTTCTAGAAAAAACCCACATTTAATGGGTTTAGTTACAAATTACTAAACATGCAATATTCAATCAAACGTCAGTGGCACATGATGTTGGGTTATCTAAGTAGAAGCTCAACACGTGCCACCTGCAGAGCAAGCGATGTCATAATACGTCAGGCTCGTCAAACGAGGCAAATACTGAATGTACCGTACACAACACAATGACTACGCTACTCACCGCTAAACAGCGACATGTTCGCGTGCACAAGACCGCACTGCACTAATCTGACACCGTTAATACACAGCAGCGCACAAACAAAAAGACACAATACTGTACACGATTACCAATACTACTCGCGGACATCCCGACGTGCCCAACTCTGCCCCGTGGCTCCGACACACACACACACACCTGGACATATGTGTGTATGCACAGTAACCATGTACAGGCACGTCCTGTAGCTGTGTGCACAAAGTGCATTCATGCAGTGCACGTGTGTGTGTGTGTGCAAAAGTGATGCCGACTGGTGCTGCACGCGTGCAAGCCCGTAGTGAGCTCCACAAAGGCAGCCAGCCGGTGGTGGTGGTGTTGGTGGTGCTGCTGCTGCGTGCAAGGCCTCCTTGTGTGGCGATGGTGGATTGAGGAGGAGGTCGGGCAGGAGCTCTTGGGTTGACACCATGCAGCCCTTGCAGGAGTGTCCGCCGTTACTTGTTCCTTGATGCTTTCGGGGACTCGGGCCCACGGCCTTGGTGCATTATATGTTCGACTTGGTCATTTCAAGAAGTTTACTTTTCCATCATACTGCAAACATGGAAGGCTGTAATACTGTGTTGTAATACTGTACTGTGGTTAAGATGGTGATCGCTGGATCAGTGTTGGACTGAGAATCTTAAGAGCGGACGCGAGTTTATGAAAACTACCGACTCACGAATCAACCCTTTAGCGAGAGTTAATTCACTTAAGCAAAACCGTGTTCACAGCATGTCCAACAGTGCGGGTGGATCGCGTGGATCCAAATAGAAACAGACTTTTTAATCGCACGGTTGTCATATGTGCATCTCCGGATCCTCGCCCGCCCCGTCGGGAGACTGTCCGTTACCAAATATGACGGCAGTGGGGCCGTGGGGCTGGGAGGTGACGAAAGGCGACACGACGGGCGAGCGAGTGGCGAGCGGCGACAGCGAGGGCGTCAGGCTGGGGGACATGGCGTGCGACGTGGAGAGCGGCTCATGCGTGATGGGCGAGCGCGGGATGGTAGTCCACGACATGACGGGACGCGGCGCCACGGCGCGGGTGCCCGGCGGCACCACGCTGGTGATGAGCGGCGGTGGAAGGACGTGCGGCTTGTGCTGGACGCGCGCTCGCAGCGCAGACGACTTTTGCTGGCTGTGCAGCGACTCGTCCTTCAGGCGCCCGATCTCCGCAAACACCCCGGCCAGCGGCTGGAAGCGAGGGCTCCAGTTCAACAGGTAGTCCCAGTCGTAGCTCCCTCGCAGCTCCTCCTCGGAGGCCACGATGGAAGTGAGCGCCCCCTCCACCGGAGGTCGGCCGTCTTCGCTGGAGCCTCTCGAGACTCGGCTAGTCGCGCCGGCCTCCCGGCCGCCCCCGTGGTTCGCCGCCCGCTCGGCCTGCTGCAGCGTCTGCAGAATGAAGTTGCGGATCGAGTCCGATCTGCGGCCCGAGTCGCACTCGTCCGCCACGCTGGCCAGCGGGGAGCGCAATCCGGACACCTCGTTCGCTCCCAGACCGCCGCCGCGCATCTCGGAAGAGAGATGCGTGACGTGCGAAATGTCGGACAGGTGGTCGGTGTCGTGCTGGATACCGGAATCCGGGCCTCGTAGAGTCGAATGGGCCCCCGCCGGGCCGTGGTAGCCGTGCGGCCCGCGGGCCGGGTTCTCCGTGATCATGCGGATCTCGTCGTCCGCCGCGGCATCTCCCTCCGCGGAGCCGCGTCCGCTGGAGTGGGAGTGGGCCGAGTGGTCGGGGAAGTCGGGCCCCATGAGAGCGGGCCCCACGGCCGAGTAATGGGGCAGCACCGTGCGGTACATGTCTGCGGGCTCCACCAGCTGCATGTCCATCTGCGACGGGCGGCCGCTGCCACCGGTCTTGCCGCCGCCTTTTCCAGACTGCCTCTTGCGTCGGATCAGGACGACGAGCAGCACAATGAGAACCACGGCAAAGACCCCGAATCCCACGGCCAGGCCGACAGCCAGAAAGATGCTTGAGCCTTCTCTTTCAATCCCGATGGCGGTGTGCGTCACGTCCATCACCGCGACAGCAATTGATATTCGAGACTCGGGTAGTGGGCTCTTTGCTAGAATTTTCAGAAAAACTTCCCTGGCATCACGTCTAAATCGACGTTGGTGTAGGCCAGTCCGACTGTTAACTTTTAAATAAATGTGTCCAGTTGTTTCATTGATCCCGAAATACACAGAGGGGTATTTTAGATAATAGAGCACGATTCCATCCAAGCCTCCGTCTTTATCTGTGGCACTGACCACGCCTACGCTCTCTCCTGCCTGCGCGTTCTCCAGGACGGTGAACTGGTACGTGGCCTCCGTGAACGTGGGCTCGAACTCATCGACGCCGGTTACATGCACGATCACACCGACGGTGGCGGACAGCCCGCCCAGGTCCTCCGCTCGTACCGCGAGCACGTAGCGTGAGACGCTCTCTCTGTCGAGAGCCACGCGCGTGCGCAGCTCGCCCGTGACGGGGTCCAGCGCGAACACTCCCGCCCCCTCGCTCGCCACGCTCCCCGCGGAGCGGTTGAGCGTGGAGTAGGAGAGCGCTCCGTAGGGGCCCGTGTCCCAGTCCACGGCCCGCAACACGGTCACCAGGCTGCCCGCGGGCTCATTCTCCAGCACGCTGGCGTACAGCCGCTCCGCGGGGAAGAAGGGGGCGTTGTCGTTGACGTCCTCGACGTTGATCGAGACGACAGCGAGGGCCGCGTGCGCGCCGTCCCAGGCCAGCACGGTGAGATTGTGCTGCTCCTGCCGCTCGCGATCCAACGGCCCCAAAAGGGAGATGGCGCCCGAAGACTCGCCGATCCCAAATAGGCTGCGCTCGTTTCCCGAGCTGATGCTGTAGTGGATGCCGCCGCTCAACTGCGAGTCGGGGTCAGTGGCCGCCACTCGGACAACGCCGGTGCCCAGCGCCAGATCCTCGTTGACGCTCGCGTGGTACTCCAGGACGCTGAACACGGGCGGGTTATCGTTCGCGTCGGTGACGCGCACGATCGCATTGACGGTCGCGTTGCCGTGGGCGCCCGTGCCGTCGAATGCCACAATAGTCAGGTTGTAAAATGCTTTGGTCTCAAAGTCAAGTCGTCCCAGCAGCAGGAGGCTTCCCGTCACGTCGGGGGCTGCCGTGGGTGACGTTTGCTGAGTGTCAACGGCAAAGATCCCTTTCTCGTCCCCGGCCACGATGCTGTACGCCACGCCCTCGCCGTCGCGCGACGCCGTTTCTGCGGTGAGCGTGGTGAGCACCGTGCCGCTGGGGGTGTCCTCGCTCACCGACAGGCCGTGGGCCCGGGCCACGTGCACACGCAGCAGGGGGGGAGACACGGGGCCTCGCGAGAGCTCGACGAACACCGGAACGGAGGCGCTGAGCGGGGGACGCCCCCCATCTCGTGCCTCCACCACCAACCAGGCCAACCCGTCGCTCGAGTTCACCTGCAGGGGACCCGTCACCACCACCGAGCCTGCACCACGGACACACACAAAGATCCCTCTAGAGCCTCGCAGACTGTTGGGGCAAGCTCTGTCAGCGACCGCCTACGAAGGCCAACGCAGCACTTGAGGGGGTGGGTGGCCAGCACCATGCCCAGCCTTCTTCGAAAAGCCAGCGCTGATTTTTACACACCACAGCAGTGACTCATTTACGTCTGAGGCGACCCAGGGGAGACCCTGGACTGGTTCAGATAACCATTACTGGTGTTGGCCGTGAGCGCCAATCAAACTCACGTCACTCGGTTCCTATTACAGTACGCTAATCACGACACCACTCCCTGCCATAAAGACAAAGACATATGCACCCGTGCACATAACAACAATAACCATCATTCATCACTAAGTGGCGCTTGTGCCAGGCTAGGTGGACCTTGAGGCGACGTGAAGTGTCGCAGGCTTGCTGGCAGGAGGTCACAGGACAGACCCAGTTGACTTAGATGACTGGCAGATGCACCATCTGTGCTGCCGACTGTGCTAACTTTCTGTGTTTTAGCCATCTGGCGCTCCACCCATTGTTGTGAGCATCACTCCTCTGTAGCGTACTTCACAAGCATCCTGCTTAGAGGCCAACATTAACACCGCTGGTACCAGTCATCGGTACCAGCGGTCCAATCAGCTCCACATCCTGTTTTACCACATCAGTCCATCTCTTCTCTAGCCCGTGTAGCGCAGGTTTATCTCCCTCTATCCAACCATACAGAAGCTGCTCGGGCATGCAGCGGCTGGGCATGTGGGTTACACGACCCAGCCAACGCAGCCTCACCTCACAAAATCCACTCTGGTTAAACTCGGGATGGATTATAGGCAGGCCAGCCTGAACATTTAAAAATGGCGCAGATTAATCTTTCATCGGGGGTCCACGTTTTCCAAGCATCGAGAAGGCAGGGCCTAACTGTGGAACTTTGTGTGGAGCGACAGACTATTGAATCTAAATGTTTCGAGCCGGTACGTGACGGGTTTTTTCCATCATTTGCACAAAGTGTTGGATTTGAGTGCTGTCTCTTTGCCCATGCCGGGTCCAGCCCGGAGCGGCGCTGGTTTTGGCCGGAGCTACGCACCGTCGAGCTGGTGGACGGAGAACCCGGCTGTACTGGACGACGCCACGCGGTACGACACTCGGCCGTTTTCCTCCGCGTCCGGGTCGAGCGCCACCACCCTCGCGACGGCCGTGCCCATGGGGCTGTCCGCCACCACGGAGGCCTGCACGGCACGGGCAACGCACAGCGCCGGGGTGAGCTCCGCCATCAGAACACGGCCGCGGCACGCCGCAACCCCCGATAGGTCACGCGGGTGCTCACCCGGTAGTGCGGTTGGTCGAACGCGGGCGCGTTGTCGTTGACGTCGGTGACGTGCAGGGTGAGGTTGCCCACGGCGGCGTGCCGCCCGTCCCACGCCAGCACCGACACCGTGTGCCGGGCCGCCCGCTCCCGGTCCAGTGCGCGCGACAGCAGCAGCGAGCCCTGCCAGCGCACCAGTCCGAAGGGCCCGCCGGCCCCCTCGCCCTCCGGCACGCCGCCGGCTTGCGCCGCCAAGCTGTACTCCAGGGCCGGGTACGAGTCCACGTCGTTGGCCGTCACCAGGGTGACCAGAGAGCCGGGCTCCATGTCTGCACGCGGCACAGGGGTCAATCGGCGTGTCGCAAGCGTCGCCGCCGATGGCGGAGCCGACGCTGTGGCCGTTTCCCCTTCTGCAGGCCCGTGGCTGGGAGCCTCTTCGCTAATTTTTGGTAAGAATTTTCAGAATGAGTGGGGCAAGTCCCTGGTTCTGCTGTGAAATGATTTTTATCTTCCAGATTTTGCCACGGGGCAGTTAAGATGACTTCCTGCTCAGATGAGCATTGAGTCGGTGCTCATCTCCTGTTTACCATCCAGCGGCGAGTCTTTCCATTGGACAACCATCGTTGACTTCCTCACAAAGTGGATACTAATTTTATCGACCCTCGGGGGATGATGGGCTGAGTCAACCCTAGACCTGGATTTGAACGCAGGACCTTTCGATTGCGAGCCGCTCGCTCTACCGCTGAGCAATCGTGGCCTGGAAAGGCACAACAGAAAAATATATTCCAAGCAGAGCGCGACGTCACAAAGTAAATAAACACTTTTCGCGTGATTTTTTTTTTTAGCGCAGCGATTTATAACCAAAGTGTCTACCACCGCCTCGCAACCCCCAAAGGCTGCTGGGCCGGGGCACTCGGAGGCTCTGACCTTCGCGCAGGCTGAGCGTGGGGGGCCGCGGGATGGTGGGCGTGTTGTCGTTGGTGTCCACCACGAAGACGGAGAGCGTTGTGGAGCCCGTGAGGGGAGGGCTGCCCTGATCCACCGCCCACACCACCACCCTGAGCCCCAGCGCACCAACAGCAGCACACGCAGGAGCAACCAACAACCGACCAGCCGCGTTGGGGATTCAGTCTACTACACATTTAATCTCATCCAGACAGGTGACAACAACACAAAAAGACAAAGATCCCCCGTATAGCCTTAACAGACTGTAGGGGCAAGTGCTGTTAGCGAGCACCTATAAAGGCCGGCACGGCACACGAGGAGGTGGGTGGCCAAAACCACGCCCGGCCACCTTTGTCTCCCTAGCAGGCGATGTTTACACATCGCACCAGGTACTCATTTGAGGCTGAGTCGACCTAGGGGAGGCCCAGGACCGGTTCAGATAATCGTCACTGGTGTTTGCCGTGAGCGGGAATCGAACCCGGGTCGCCAGGTTCGTAGCGCAGCGCGCTAACTGCTACACCACCGCTCCCCATTCACACACTCACTCCGTCACACTCGCCCCACAAACTCACTCCCCCAATCACCCACCCTATCGCTTGTATATCACTTCTGCTACAGCTGCTACCATGATGACTGTTCCCGTAAAATTTGCTCACCGATTCCTTCACCCATGTTGACAACTCTAGCAGACTGTCCAGTCTCATCCATCCACACTGCAGGTCCCCTCACTTCTCTCTCTGCTTCTCGCCTTGCACCGCTCCACTTTCAAGTCCCCTTCCACCACCACCAGCGCTCTTGCCAAGCTTTTATATAATAATAACCTTGCTCAAGTTAGGAAACGCGTGAGCTCTTATCTATTATAACTTTGGTATATAGGTGCTGTTTGTTCCTGGCCACTGTTCACTGATGCACAGCAATCGAACAGCAGCGGACCGAGACGGCAGCCCAGATACAATAACCACCAGGGGCCGCTTCCTGCAAGCCATTAGCTCAAGGCGTTCTGTTCGTCCGGACACACGTGCACGATCGGGCCGATGGACACGTGGACACTATAGTAATAGGTTTTTACCCTTTCAACTTGGTACCAAAACTGACACCTTTATACAAGGCATCATGTTTGCAATAACCACAACACAAGCAGTCAATACACCTTTGGGCGTCATCTGGTTCAACACCAATGGAGACTAGGCTCTAAGGACCAATCAACTTCAAGGACAGTGCATATCATTATCATCATCAGAGTTGTTTATTTTTGTTTGCATTTTGACTGCTTGTGTTGTGGTTATTGCAAACATGATGCCTTGTATAAAGGTGTCAGATTTTGTACCAGTTGAAAGGGTAAAAACCTATTACAATATTTTGCCACTGGTAAAGGAGGTCTCATAGTGTAAACGTGGACACTACTCAAACCTGTAGAAATCGGTGATCTCGTGGTCCAGGATGGTGTTCGTGCTGATGTTCCCATGGCGATTGATCTGGAAGATGCTGGCGTGCTCGCCGGATGGAATGGAGTAGACGAGTTCCCGGCTGGAGCCATCGTCTCGATCCTTGGCCAGCACCTGCCATCGCACACGGGGAGGCACCTCGCTACGGCACCCGGACGCGCGCACGTACCGTGCGAACGAGCGCGCCCCTTACCGCGCGTCGGCTCGCGTCGCGCGCTCGACCAGCTCACCGTGGCGATGTCGGTGCCATAGCTGCTCTGCTCGCGTACGAAGGCCACGTAGCGGTCGTGCTGGAACACCGGCTCGTGGTCATTGACGTCGGTCAGCGTCACCTCCAGCACGGCGAACGCCTGGGGCCCTCGACCCCCTCCTGCCTCGGCCTTGGCCGACACCACCGCCCGGAGACGCGGGGAGACCTCGTAGTCCAGCGCGGCCGCGTCCTGAACGTGTACCGCCCCTGCATTGGAGCGCGCGCGACCGTCGCGATCAGGAGCGCACCACGCTTAGACCGGAACGAGACCCTTTGTGATGCTTCTGCTGCTGCTGATGCGCTCGCATGTGGCCCATCGGCACGGATAACAGAAACTCACAACGCATTTTTCAATAACACTCTGAGCCTCTGAGGCAAAACGAGTAACACAGTGAACTGAGGCCGGCAAACATAACGTTCATTAAAGTAAATCTGCTCCACCCAACCAAAAGTCGCGCGGACTTTTAACAGGATGAAGTCAAGGGTCACGGTGGTTACCCCTTGGACCAGGCTGGCTCGGAGCCGGCTCGGAGCCCTCGGCCTGCACCCACCTGTGTTGCTGTCAATGTAGAAAATGTTTTGGTTGTTGACGATGCTGTAGATGATGCGGCCACTGGATCCATCCTGATACGCAGCCTCCACTGTGGCGACGACGGTGCCTGTCACGCCACACCGCTCGTGTTACAATCCCTATCAGACCACACCCCTGTGCAGCAATCCCAAAGGCTACACCGCTGTGCAGCAATCCCAAAGGCTACACCCCTGTGCAGCAATCCCAAAGGCTACACCACTGTGCAGCAATCCCAAAGGCTACACCGCTGGTATTTAGAATCTCTGCCTGACAGGCCACACGACTCATGGTACAATCCCATCTGCGAAGACAAACTCCACACGGCAAAGGCCCCCGAGTGAGGATTGGCGCTGGGCTGCATGGTGGGCATCTGCACCTCTGGGCGCGTGCTCCGGCAGCGTCGCCGCGTACAGCTGGCGGGAGAAGCGGAGCGCGGCTTGCGCCGAGTTTTGCCGCGTCAGCAGCAGCAAGGCGGACGCGGAGTGGGGCGGGCTGCCCTGGTCCGTCGCCGTGACGACGATTGGGTCCCAGGAGGCCGGCCCGCCCCCCCAGCCCGGCCGGGTCCGCAGCTCGCCGGTGCGGCTGTCCACGGTGACGCGTGGGTCCTGGACGCGGTAGAGCACGGCCGCGTTGGGCCCGTAGTCCGCGTCCCGGGCCTGCAGCCGCCCCAGAACCTCCCCGTCCACCGAGGCCGCCGGCACGGTCACCTCCAGCAGCTCCTGCCGGGGTCACGCGGGGCACGACGCGCGTCAGCGCAACACGAGCACGGCGTCACCGCGCCATTGTGTCGTGTCGATCCCAGAGGGATGGTGGGCCGAGCCAATCCCTCTGATTGCGGGCCGCTCGCCCTAGCGCCGAGCGGCCCAGCGGCCGAGTTGAGCTCTCTGGTTAGTAGCGACGAGCCGCAGAATTAACCGAGCCGAACGGAGCGCAGGAGGTGCGGCGGGACGCGCGCACCTGCAGGAATACGGGCACGTTGTCGTTGACGTCCTGCACGGTCACGGTGACGGCCACAGAGGCGCTGCGCGGGTTGCCGGGGCTCGAGTCCGACGCGACCACGAAGAAGCGGTACGAGTCCCTCGCCTCGCGGTCCAGGGGCGAGCGCGTGCGCACCGTCCCCGAGCGCTCGTCCACCCAGAAGGCCCCGCCGGCGGAGCCCTCCAGCCAGTACACCAGCGCCGCGTTGGCGCCCCGGTCCGGGTCGCCGGCCGCCACCCGCAGCACGGAGGTGCCCGGGGGCGCGTCCTCCGGCAAGGAGGCCCGGTAGGCGGGCTGCGGGAAGGCGGGCGCGTGGTCGTTCTCGTCCGTCACCGACACGGAGACGGCGATGGCGTGCGAGCGTGCCGGCTCCCCCTGGTCCCGCGCCTCCAGCCGCAGCTCGTAGGAGGGGACGGCCTCGCGGTCCAGCGGCCGTGCGGTCGACAGCAGACCCGTGTCCGCGTGCACGTGGAAGGCCCCGCGCGGGTCGCCACCTGCGGAGAGGCCGCGGGAAGGAGGGGAGGGCTCGACGCGGGTACGGGGAGGCGCGTGCGCGTACAGCGCGGGTGGCGCGCGTACCCGCCGGACTCCCCGGCGTGCATCTTTTTTTTTATATATATATTTTTTTTACGATCAGTGGAAACAAGAAGATGCTCGGTGTATTCGGCACTTACCCACGATGTGGAACGTGACTCGCCCGTTCTCCCCGGCGTCGGGGTCCCACGCCGACAGCGGCAGCAGCGGTCCCGGCTCGCGGTTCTCGGGAACCTGCAGCTGCATCCCGGCAAGGTGCGGGCCGAAGCGCGGCGCGTGGTCGTTCTCGTCCAGCACGGCGACGCGCACCACCGTGACGGCCCAGCGTGCCGGCCGGCCCCCGTCCCGCACCAACACTGCCGAGAGATGAGCACGCACGCCCCGTGAAGCCGGTGGCGATCGAATGGGGGGCATGTTGGGTGTTGCCCCCGCCCCCCTCCCCCCTCCCCCTCAAGACCCTGAATATTGGTATCTTCTTGATATTTTCGACGGAAAATATATTCTCTTGGGGTCTTTCGGTAAAGCCACGTAGATAGAAAAATTATAAAAATATTAAAAAATCACGATGTTTCGATCGCAACACGAGCAATCGTATTCAGGTGAAAAAATACAGCAGGCGGACTGCTGAGGCAGGAAGAAATATACACATTGAACATTAGATTTATTTATTCACATGGGGCCCAGTTTAAAGAGCTCGCTGTCGACGCGGCGCCTCGCGGGGACCGTCACGAGGACGACGCGACGCACCGGGGACGTCGTAGTCTCCCCGCTCCTCCCGGTCCAGGCTCCTCGTCGTGCTCATCTGCCCCGACGAGCGGTCGATGCGGAAGCAGCCGCCGGCCACCCCCTCCGGGATCTCAAACTCCAGCGCTCCGTTCGCCCCTGGACGGACACGTCACTCGGGCGTCATCAAAAGCTTCACTCCTCGCCTCTTCCACACGCGTCACGGTCTCGCACGGAACGCCGTTGAACAGCAACCTGCGATGACTTTCCGTAGCGAACCATCGTGAAAGACGCATCGCGGCACCCGTACCTGTGTCTGGGTCTGTGGCCTGCAGCCGAGTCACGGGGGTGTTGGGGGGCGCGTTTTCCCGCACGCTGGCCGCCTGCTCGTGCTGCGGGAAGCGCGGAGGTTCGTCGTTGGCGTCGCGCAGGGCGACCGTGACGACCTGGCTGCTGCTACGTGGGGGGCGCCCCCCGTCGCGAGCGTCGACCGTGATCGTGTACTCGGCTCTCCGCTCGCGATCCAGCGGCCGCGCCACGGAGAGCAGGCCTGCACGCGCGGGCAGGCGCACGGGGTAAGCGGAGGAAGAGGAGGGGTGCCCGTGTATACAAGACTCCCACAGTGTGGGTAAACCTTTCAGGGAGGGCTCAGGCTACAGCATGGATACAGTGCAGGAGACATTTCAAATGTGCACTGCGGTGACAAAACATGCTTGATACGCAACGTGAAACCAATGCCTCACTAACACAAAACACAAGGATACACAACATGCCTGACTAATACCGTGCTGACCCGATTATAGCGTCCGTGCTCTGGCAAAGCGACTTGGGGGTGGGGGGGGGGGGGGTCAGGGGGTCACCATTCCAGATGGGTTGAGAACCACTGCCCTTGCCACAACCACGGCACGTGCACGCACCGCGCGGGGCGCGTCGCGCGACGTCACCTGTGACGGGGTGCAGGCCGAACGCCCCGTCCTTGTCGCCGTCGGCAATCGCGTAGCGCACGGTGCCGTTCTCGGCGAGGTCGGCGTCCCGCGCCACCACGTGCATTATGGGAAACCCGGGGGGAGCATTCTCCGGCACGGCGCTGCGATTGGCCGACAGGAACACGGGGGAGTTGTCGTTGTCGTCGCCGACCGTCACGAGCGCCGTGACCTCGGAGGCCCGGCGCCGAGCGGGCTCGCGCGCTTGGTCCGTCGCCCTGACGACGAGCAGGAAGGCCGGGACGGCCTCGCGGTCCAGGGCCACGGCGGTGCTGAGCACGCCGGTCACGGGGTCGAGTGCGAACGCCGCGGGGGAGCCGGGCGTCTGCAGCGCCAGCTCGTAGCGGACGTCGCGGTTCGGGAGGCTCCCGTCGGCGTCCGTCGCCCGGAAGGTGTGCACGGCACGGCCCACGGGGAGGCCCTCCTGCACAGAGATGCGCGGGGCCTCCTGCACAAACCTGGACGCGCGACGGCCGAGACGGATGGAGTGTTACACGAGCGCGGTCGACGTTCTCATTTTGAAATACAATTAATATCACGGTTGCTGAGTACAGGGCCGAAGGGTCCAAATGTCAAGTGGCCGGGAACAAACGGCACTCTCAATGTCAGAGATAAGAGTGAAGCACGTTTCTTTAACTGAGCCAGGTACTATAAGAGCTTGGGGAAAGAGACGATTGGGAGGGAATTCCAAAGTGAACCAGTGCGAAGGAAGAAGCAGTGTGGTGAGTGGGTGAGTGAGTGGGTGAGTGAGTGGGTGAGTGAGTGGGTGAGTGGGTGAGTGAGTGGGTGAGTGAGTGGGTGAGTGAGAGGGTGAGAGGGTGAGTGGGTGAGTGGGTGAGTGAGTGAGTGGGTGAGTGAGTGGGTGAGTGAGTGAGTGGGTGAGCGAGTGGGTGAGTGAGTGGGTGAGTGAGTGGGTGAGTGGGTGAGTGAGTGAGTGGGTGAGTGAGTGGGTGAGTGAGTGAGTGAGTGGGTGAGTGAGTGGGTGAGTGAGTGGGTGAGTGGGTGAGTGAGTGAGTGGGTGAGTGAGTGGGTGAGTGGGTGAGTGAGTGGGTGAGTGAGTGGGTGAGTGGGTGAGTGAGTGAGTGGGTGAGTGAGTGGGTGAGTGAGTGAGTGAGTGGGTGAGTGAGTGGGTGAGTGAGTGAGTGAGTGGGTGAGTGAGTGGGTGAGTGAGTGGGTGAGTGGGTGAGTGAGTGAGTGGGTGAGTGAGTGGGTGAGTGGGTGAGTGAGTGGGTGAGTGAGTGGGTGGGTGAGTGAGAGGGTGAGAGGGTGAGTGGGTGAGTGGGTGAGTGAGTGAGTGGTGAGTGAGTGAGTGAGTGATGGGTGAGTGAAGGGGTGAGTGGTTAGTGAGTGGTTGAGCGAGTGGTAGTGAGTGGTGAGTGAGTGGGTGGATGGGTGCAGTGAGGTGAGTGGGTGGTGACTGAGTGAGTGAGTGAGTGAGTGGGTGAGTGAGTGATGAGGGGTGAGTGAGTGAGTTGGGTGAGTGAGTGGGTGAGTGGGTGGTGATGGGTAGTGAGTGGGTGAGGGGTGTGAGTGAGTGGGTGATTGATTGGTTGAGTGATTGAGTGGGGGGAGTGGTGAGTGAGTGGTGAGTGAGTGTGAGTGAGTGGTGATGGGTGAGTGAAGTGAGTGGGTGAGTGGGGGTGGAGTGGGAGAGTGGGTGAGTGATTGGTTAGTGAGAGGGTGAGAGGGTGGTGGGTGATTGGTTGAGTGAGTGAGTTGGTGAGTGAGTGGTGAGTGAGTGAAGTGGGTTGAGCGAGTGGGTGAGTGATGGGTGATTGAGTGGGTGAGTGGGGAGTGAGTGAGTGGGGTGGAGTGAGTGGGGTTGTGAGTGAGGTAGTGGGTGAGTGAGTGGGTGAGGGGAGTGGGTGAGTGGGTGAGTGAGTGAGTGAGTGGGTGAGTGAGTGGTGGTGAGTGAGTGGGTGAGGTGAGTGAGTGAGTGAGTGTGTGAGTGAGTGGGGTGAGTGAGTGAGGTGAGTGGGTGAGTGAGTGGGTGAGTGAGTGGGTGAGTGGGTGAGTGAGTGAGTGGGTGAGTGAGTGGGTGGAGTGGTGAGTGAGTGGGTGGAGTGAGTGAGTGGGTGAGTGGGTGAGTGAGTGAGTGGGTGAGTGAGTGGGTGAGTGGGTGATGGAGTGAGGTGCGTGAGTGAGTGGGTGGAGTGGGTGAGTGAGTGAGTGGGTGAGTGAGTGAGTGGGTGAGTGAGTGAGTGAGTGAGTGAGTGAGTGAGTGAGTGGGTGAGTGAGTGGAGTGAGTGAGTGAGTGAGGTGAGTGGGTGAGTGAGTGAGTGGGTGAGTGGGGTGAGTGAGTGGGTGGGTGAGTGAGTGGGTGGTGGGTGAGTGAGTGGGTGAGTGAGTGGGTGAGTGGGTGAGTGGTGGGTGAGTGAGTGAGTGGGGTGAGTGGTTGAGTGAGTAGGGTGAGAGGGTGAGTGTGGGGTGAGTGAGGTGAGTGAGTGAGTGGGTGAGTGAGTGAGTGGGTGAGAGTGAGTGAGTGAGTGAGTGAGTGAGTGAGTGGGTGAGTGAGTGGGTGAGTGAGTGAGTGGGTGAGTGAGTGGGTGAGTGAGGGTGAGTGAGTGGGTGAGTGGGTGAGTGAGTGGGTGAGTGAGTGGGTGAGTGGGTGAGTGAGTGGGTGAGTGAGTGGGTGAGGTGGGTGAGTGAGTGGGGGTGAGTGAGTGAGTGAGTGAGTGGGTGAGTGAGAGGGTGGGGAGAGGGTGAGTGGGTGAGTGGGTGAGTGAGGAGTGGGTGAGTGAGTGGGTGAGTGAGGGTGGGTGAGCGAGGGGTGAGTGAGTGGGGAGTGAGTGGGTGAGTGGGTGAGGAGTGAGTGGGTGATGAGTGGGTGAGTGAGTGAGTGAGTGGGGTGAGTGGGTGAGTGAGTGCGTGAGTGGGTGCGTGGGTGAGTGGGTGAGTGAGTGAGTGGGGGGTGAGTGGGTGAGTGAGTGAGTGAGGGTGATGAGTGAGTGGGTGAGTGATTGGGTGAGTGGGTGAGTGAGGGGTGGGTGAGTGAGGTGAGGTGGAGTGTGGGCTGGAGTAGGTTGAGTGAAGTGGGTGAGTGAGTGGGTTGAGTGAGGTGGGTGAGTGAGTTGGGTGAGTGAGGTGGAGTGAGTAGTGGTGAGTGAGGGGTGGAGTGGTGAGTGGTGGGTTGAGTGAGTGGGTGAGTGAGTGAGTGCCGTGTGAGTGAGTGGAGTGAGGGGTGAGTGAGTGGTAGTGGGTGAGTGAGGTGAGTTGGTTGAGTGAGTGGGTGAGTGATGGGTCTGGGTAGTGAGTGGGTGAGTGGAGTGGGTGAGTGGAGGGTGAGGTGAGATGGGTGAGTGAGTGGGGTGATGAGTGAGTGAGTGAGTGGGTGAGTTGGTGGGTGAGTGAGTGGTGAGTGGTGAGTGAGTGAGTGTGAGTGAGTGGGTGAGTGGGGTGAGTGAGTGGGTGAGTGAGTGGGTGGAGGGGTGAGTGAGTGGGTGGTGAGTGAGTTGGGTGAGTGAGGTGAGGTGAGTGGGTGAGTGAGGGGTGAGTGGGTGAGTGAGTGAGGGGGTAGTGAGTGGGATGAGTGAGTGGTTGAGTGAGTGGGATGAGGGAGTGAAGTGGGTGAGTGAGTGGTGAGTGAGTGGGTGAGTGAGTGAGGGTGGGGAGTGAGTGAGTGGTGAGTGGGTGATGGTGAGTGAGTGGGAGTGGTGAGTGAGTGGTGAGTGGGTGAGTGGGTGAGTGAGGGGTGAGTGAGGGTGGTGAGTGAGTGAGTGAGTGGGTGAGTGAGTGGGTGAGTGGGTGGGTGAGTGGTGTGAGGTGAGTGAGTGGGTGAGTGGGTGGGTGAGTGGGTGAGTGGAGTGAGTGGGTGAGTGGGAGTGGTGAGTGGGTGAGTGGTGGGTGAGGGTGAGTGAGTGGGTGATGGTGGGTGAGTGGGTGAGTGAGTGGAGTGGGTGAGTGGAGTGAGTGGGTGAGTGGGGATGATGTGGGTGAGTGAGTGAGTGAGTGGTGGTGAGTGGTGAGTGGGTGAGTGGGTGGGTGAGTGTGAGTGAGTGAGTGAGTGGTGATGAGTGAGTGAGTGTGAGTGGGTGAGTGGTGGGTGAGTGAGTGGAGTGAGTGGGTGAGTGGGTGAGTGAGTGGGTGAGTGAGGGTGGGTGAGTGAGTGAGGGGTGAGTGAGTGAGTGAGTGGTGGGTGGTGAGTGGGTGATGTGAGTGGGTGAGTGAGTGAGTGAGTGGGTGAGTGAGTGGGTGATGAGTGAGTGGTGAGTGGGTGAGTGAGTGGGTGAGTGAGTGGGTGAGTGGGGGTGAGTGAGTGGGTGAGTGGGGTGAGTGGGTGAGTGAGTTGGTGTGAGTGAGTGGGTGAGTGGGTAGTTAGTGAGTGGGTGAGTGAGTGGGTGAGTGAGTGAGTGAGTGTGTAGTGGTGGGTGAGTGAGTGAGTTGGTGAGTGGAGTGGGTGAGTGAGTGGGTGATGAGTGAGTGAGTGGGTGAGTGAGTGGTGGTGGGTGAGTGAGTGGGTGAGTGAGTGGTGGGTGAGGGAAGGGTGAGAGGGTGAGTGGGTGAGTGGGTTGAGTGAGTGAGTGGGTGAGTGAGTGGGTGAGTGAGTGAGTGTTAGGCGAGTGGGTGAGCGAGGGGTGAGTGAGTGGGTGAGTGGGTGAGTGAGTGATTGGTGATGAGTGAGTGAGTGGGTGAGTGATTGGTGAGTGAGTGGATGATGGTGAGTGAGTGTAGGGGTGAGTGAGTGGGTGAGTTGGGTGAGTGAGGTGGGTGAGTGGGTGGGTGAGTGGGTGAGTGGTGAGTGGGTGAGTGGGTGGGTGAGTGAGTGAGTGGGGTGAGTGAGTGAGTGAGTGAGTGAGTGGGTGAGGAGTGGGTGAGTGAGGGGTGAGTGGGTGAGTGAGTGACTGGGTGAGTGACTGGGTGAGTGGGTGAGTGAGTGGGTGAGTAGTGGGTGAGTGAGAGGGTGAGAGGGTGAGTGGGTGAGTGGGTGAGTGAGTGGGTGAGTGGGGAGTGAGTGAGTGAGGGTGGAGGAGCGAGTGGGTGAGTGAGTGGGTGAGTGAGGGGTGGTGGGTGGGTGAGTGAGTGGGTGAGTGAGTGGGTGAGTGAGTGAGTGAGTGGGTGAGTGAGTGGGTGAGTGAGTGGGTGAGTGGGTGAGTGAGTGAGTGGGTGAGTGAGTGGGTGGTGAGTGAGTGGGTGAGTGAGTGAGTGGGTGAGTGGGTGAGGTGAGTGAGTGAGTGGGGTGAGTGGGTGAGTGAGTGGGTGAGTGGGTGAGTGAGTGAGTGGGTGAGTGAGTGGGTGAGTGGGTGAGTGATGGGGGGGTGAGTGAGGGTGAGTGGGTGAGTGAGTGAGTGGGTGAGTGAGTGGGTGAGTGGGTGAGGTGAGTGAGTGAGTGCGTGAGTGAGTGGGTGAGTGGGTGAGTGAGTGAGTGAGTGAGTGGGTGAGTGGGGGTGAGTGAGTGAGTGAGTGAGTGGGTGAGTGAGTGGTGAGTGAGTGAGTGAGTGGGTGAGTGAGGGGGTGAGTGAGTGGGTGAGGTGAGTGGTGGGTGAGGAGTGGTGAGTGGGTGAGTGAGTGGGGGTGAGTGAGGTGAGTGGGTGAGTGGGTGGGTGAGTGAGTGTGATGGGGTGGGAGTGGGGGTGGGTGAGTGAGTGGGTGGGGGTGAGTGAGTGGGTGAGTGAGTGGGTGAGTGAGTGAGTGGGTGAGTGAGTGGGTGAGTGAGTGAGTGAGTGGGTGAGTGAGTGGGTGAGTGAGTGGGTGAGTGGGTGAGTGAGTGAGTGGGTGAGTGAGTGGGTGAGTGGGTGAGTGAGTGGGTGTGAGTGAGTGGGTGAGTGGGTGAGTGAGTGGTTGAGTGAGTGGGTGAGTGAGTGGGTGAGGGGTGAGTGAGTGAGTGGGTGAGTGAGTGGGTGAGTGGGTGAGTGAGTGGGTGAGTGAGTGGGTGGGTGAGTGAGTGGGTGAGTGGGTGAGTGAGTGGGTGAGTGAGTGGGTGAGTGGGTGAGTGAGTGAGTGGGTGAGTGAGTGGGTGAGTGGGTGAGTGAGTGGGTGAGTGAGTGGGTGAGTGGGTGAGTGAGTGAGTGGGTGAGTGAGAGTGGGTGAGTGAGTGAGTGAGTGGGTGAGTGAGTGGGTGAGTGGAGTGAGTGGGTGAGTGAGTGGGTGAGTGAGTGGGTGAGTGGGGGGGTGAGGTGAAGTGAGTGGGTGAGTGAGTGGGTGAGTGGGTGAGTGAGTGGGTGGGTGAGTGAGTGGGTGAGGGGTGAGGAGTGAGTGATGGGTGAGTGGGTGAGTGAGGGGTGGAGTGAGTGGGTGAGTGAGTGAGTGAGTGGTGAGTGGGTGAGGTGAGTGAGTGGGTGAGTGAGTGAGTGAGTGGTGAGTGATGGGTGAGTGGTGTGAGTGATCGTGGTGTGAGTGGGTGAGTGCGGTGAGTGGGTGAAGTGAGTGGGTGAGTGGGGTGAGTGAGTGGGTGGTGTGGTGAGTGGTGTGAGTGGGTTAGTGAGTGGGTGGGTGATGTGAGTGGGTGGAGTGGGTGAGTGAGTGAGTGGGTGAGTGATCGTGGGTGAGTGAGTGAGTGAGTGAGTGGGTGAGTGAGTGGTGTGAGTGGGTGAGTGACGTGAGTGGGTGAGTGAGTGGGTGAGTGGGTGAGTGAGTGGGTGGGTGAGTGAGGGGTGAGTGGGTGATGTGAGTGGGTGGGGTGAGTGAGTGGGTGAGTGGGTGAGTGAGTGAGTGGGTGAGTGAGTGGGTGAGTGAGTGAGTGAGTGGGTGAGTGAGTGGGTGAGTGAGTGAGTGAGTGGGTGAGGTGAGTGGGTGAGTGGGTGGGTGAGTGGGTGAGTGAGTGGGTGAGTGAGTGGGTGAGTGAGTGGGTGAGTGAGTGGGTGAGTGAGTGAGTGGGTGGGTGGGTGAGTGAGTGGGTGAGTGAGTGAGTGGGTGAGTGAGTGGGTGAGTAAGTGGGTGAGTGAGTTGTTGTCACCTGCAGTGTGGATGAGACAAAACCGACGGATCGTTAACAAAATAAAGAGCACTTCCTTTCCACGTTTGTCTCTCTACGTAATTTTTAAAATGTATTTTCTACGCAACCCATCAACTGCACGGCCTCCTGGGAGAGCATCTTGTCAGCAGCATTGGTTCAACTCAAGGAAACTCGGGACCACTTTGAAATGAAGTCTCTCATCGGCAGGGTCGGGCTTGCTTGAACCAATGCTGGTGAATTCCAGGTGTTTATAAGCAAGATCCTTGCGACGTGGACCACTGGTGTCTCCGCAAGGCCGTGGGAGCTGGTCTGCAGAACTCTTGCAGATCCGATTTTATTCACAAAATACCAAAAGTTCTGGACTGCATGGCAGGCACTGAAAATGTATCGAGGGTTAACGGTGTCCTTCAGGAGAGCTGGGAGCCGCTGTGCTAGCGTGCGGTGGTTTACTCCGTGTGAAACTACAGCCACTGAGAGGGGGAACGGTTATACAAGGCATCATGTTTGCAATAACCACAACACAAGCAGTCAAAATGCAAACAAAAAGAAAACAACTCTGATAATGATAATGATATGCACTGTCCTTGAAGTTGATTGGTCCACACCCGAGACAGCTTTTCTTAGAGCCTAGTCTCACATGGTGTTGGACCAGATGACGCCAAAGGGCATATTGACTGCTTGTGTTGTGGTTATTGCAAACATGATTCCTTGTATAAGGGTGTCAGTTTTTTGTACCAGTTGAAAGGGTAAAAACCTATTACTATATTTTGCCACTGGTAAAGAAGATGTCTCGTAGGGGGAACGGGGTCGTGACCTCGGCGTGTGCTCGTTCACGTCCGTGACGCTCACGAACACGAGCAGCAGGAAGCGGCCGGGCGACGCGAACGCAGATGTCACCGTCTCGACGGCGACCTGCAGCTGGTACGTGGGGGAGACCTGCAACAGCACGGACACACCTGAGCATGCTGCTGTAGACAGACTCAAGCACACGCACACACTCCCTGCATGTAAGAATGTCCTCCATGGAGACCGCTCGCCGTGTGAGTTTTCAGTTTCAGTTTTCAGTTTCATTCGGCTCTTGAATCGGGTGCAACCGCAACAAACCAAAACCAAAAACATGAACAAGAAAACATCTTAAAGTGAATATGTGACTGCGTGCAAACAGAAAATCCAAGAAAAGACAGAAAAATATAAGCACCGTACACCAACGCTGTGTGCAAAAATCCCAGTGGGATGCAAGTCAAACAACAACAACCACCAGACAACTTAGATTAAGGCCATCAGTCTAACTCCGTACTACAATAAACAAACATTGCCAAACCAAAAAACTTTTCTAAATCACCAAAATAAAGCCACAAAAGCAATGAAACAGTGATCATAGGAACTGTGACCAAATTTTCACAATAAACGACATAAACAACATGTACCACCAAAACCCTGCAGCCATAGCTGGCTGCACGAGTCACTCCACAACAGCAGGAGCATCAGTCATAGAAGTTCACCTCGTAGTCCAGCTCGCGTGCCAGGTAGACGTGTCCGGTGGTCGCATCCACTCCAAATGTCCCCCATCGATCAGTGCCCCCCACAATGCGGTACAAGACCTCCGCGTCGCTCTTACAGCCCACCCCGGAACTTGCATTGGCGCAAACCGAGCCGATCACGGTGCCAGGCCTGGTCCCCTCCACCGCCACGAGATGGACCACCGAGGACTCGGGAGCCTCCAAGAGGCCCTTCATAGCCCGCACCTATCGCGGGATAAACAGAAGAGTCAAAGGTGCGGCCCCGCAACCGCTCGCTAACGCCCCCGCCGGCGAAACGGCCTTCACTCGAGCGAACTCGACAGCCATGCTTCTCGACATTTTTCTCTTCACGTCGCCCACGCTCGGGCTCCCTCGATCTTCGCGGCCAAGACGAATCTTCTTGGTTCTTTCGGTAAAGTCACGTAGAAGGGAAGTAATAAAATAATCAAAATAAAACATAATTATTTTATTATGTTTTATTTTTATTATTTTATAAAATAAAACATAATTATTTTATTATGTTATATTTTTATTATTTTATTACTTCCCTTCTACGTGACTTTACCGAAAGAACCAAGAAGATGAATCCCTGCATTTACGAAAACTTTAAATCGAAATTTAGGCCAAGCCGAAGTTCGCGATGACCTCGTTAAGAACTGAGAATTTAAGTGCGGTGCCAACAATTCGCGATGGGAATTTGTCAAACTGCGTGAGTGTATTTGTGACTGTGTTATTGTCTCCGTGTCTGTGTGCGTGTCTTTGTGTCTCGGAGTCTCGGTGTCTCCGTATCTGCGACTGAGCAAGTTGAGAGGGCTGGGGGGTGCTGGAATGACGGCCGTTTTGGTGACATTCTGCGCTACGTTGTTAAATTGTTGATACAGGGGCAGTTGCAACAGTAATTTCGATATTTCGGAAATGTTGGCGCATGGCGAGAAGCCAGTGAGAAGGAACAGATATCCTGGGAACAAAAACGCATGCACACATCATATTTGTTCATGTGAGTGTGGAAATATCCAGATTTCAAAGACGTGATCATCTCGGATGCTCGCAATGGGGGCCCCGGAGCTCCTATCGGAGGTGAATGGCGGCAGAGACGGTGCAACTGGAGCGACGCGCGGTGCGAGCGTGGCCGGGGGCCGTGCGGTGTGTCTCGCCTGCACGTGCAGCTGCATGGAGCTGTTGAGAGGAGGTTGGCCCCTGTCGGCCGCCGTCACCACCAGGGAGTATCGAGTCCGCTCGGCGCCCAGCCAGCCGGCCGTGCTCACCACGCCGCTGTCGGCGTGTATCCGGAACCAAGGCGCGTCTGGACCTAAGCCGGCACCGCCGCACACCGAAACCCACAGACACCGGCGCCACGAGTCGGGCATCGCCGCGGCGCACGCGGCTCGCCGCCAGCCCCCGTGTGTTTGTTGGGGAGTCTTAGCGAGAGAGGAAATGAATATCGGCAAAGGGGAAAATATATAATACTACGTGAGCGCCTGTTTAAGCCGCACGAGGCACGGCCATGTACACTCACAAAGATCCCTCGGGTAGCCCACACAGGCTGTTGGGGCAAGTGCTATTAGTGAGCACCTATGAAGGTCGGACGGCGAATGAGGGGCTAGTATGGCCAAGACAAGGCCCGGCCACTTTTTTCTACCCTCCGTGCTGATTTTGTACACACTGCACCAGGTACTCAGTTGAGGCTGAGTCGAAGGCCCGGTTCAGATATTTATCACTGATGTATGGCCGTGAGCGGGAATCGAACACGGGTCACCAGGTTCGTAGCGCAGTGTGCTCACTGCTACATTACCGCTCTCCACACTCAAACACACGCACACGCATGTTGGAGCAGTGAAAATCTCATCCAGCATTGACCAAATGACACACGTCTGCAATTCGCGCACAGACTCACTCGGGGAAACCGCGCAGCAGCATGCATCTCTCCTGCGTCTTAAAATATAGCACGCAGCGGAACGCGCACGAGATCGTAGCAGTCAGTCGAAGAGTGAAAGGTCGCGACGTTGGGTTCACGTTGAGCCGTGGGGCGTACCCGCCAGCGAGTAGACTACGGTGCCATTCTCCCCGGCGTCCGGGTCCAGGGCCGTGAGGCGGCCCAGCGTCCAGCCGGAATCGGCTCCGGGGTGAACCTGGGGGGTGGGGGGGGGACGGGACAGGAAATCCAGGATCTGTGTGAGTGGACAGGGCAAGGGGTTGCACAGCGCCAGGGAGCAGGTGCCATGAGCGTGCGTGTGAAGATCGTGGGGGGTGCAGGTGGCCACGCGCACAACACATGTGAGCCAGAATCGTGTGCGTGCACACACAACGATAAGCGCAGTTCACCACTAAGTGGCGTTGATGTGCTGGCTCGGATGACTGGCTGATGCACCACCTGTGCTCCCCACTGTGCCAACTCGCTGCGTTTTAGCCACCTGGCACTCTGCTCGTTGTTGTGAGCGTCGCTCCTTTGCCCTCCGTTGTTGTTGGAGGGCGACTGCCTCCAACTACCCAGCAGCGTCCTTCACGAGCCTCCTCCACAGAGGGCGATCTTGACACCGCTGGTACCGGTCATCGGTAAGTCTCCTCAGCTGCACGTCCTCCTGTACAACTTTAGCTCACCTCTTCTCAAGCCCACGCCGTACCTATTCAGTTCCCTCTATCCAGCCAAACAGAATCTGTTTGGGCATGCGGTGACTGGGCATGCGGGCTACATGACCCAGCCAAGGCAGCCTCGCCTGCCGGAGGAGCTCGCCAATGGGACTGTGTCCAGATCTTTCAAGGAGCTGTGAGCTCCTCACACACTGCTCCCTGGTTAAACCCAGGATGGATCACAGGCAGGCCAGCCTCAATGTTTCACACACGGACGCACAATCACACACACACCTGGAGCTCCAGCGGGTTTGTTGCCATGGCGACGAAGGTGGGAGTGTTGTCGTTGTCGTCGGTGACTGTCACGCACACCGTGACGCTCTCCTCCGTGCCGGCTCGAGTGACCACCACCTGCAGTCGGTACTCGCCCTGTTCCTCCCTGTCCAGCGCCGTCCGCGTGCTGAGCTCACCTGGACACAGCGCAGCGGGTTACCACGGCGCGTTGCTACGGATCACCATCGTCGTGATTGCATGGCACAGAACAACAATTATAATCGTCGTTACTGTTTTACCCAGGCAAGCCACACTGAGGGTGTTCCCTGGGTAAAGAAGTGATTCGTCGTGTGAGAAGACTTTTCATTCAGGAGGGTGCTGCCACATTGCGGTGTTTGGCTAACACCATCTACGCTCCGTGATTAGCTTTTGGCGGAAACTGGAGAACGGGGGCAGAACAACGCTCACGCGAGGCAGGAATCGAACTCGGGTACTTTTTGCTGTGCGGAACGAATAACCGCTGCACGGCCCTGCTGTCAAAAATCCTTGCGCGTGTGTGATGCGATTGTGGTTGACAGAACGTGAAGGCGTTTCCGCGTTTACTGCTGACGGACGGCACCTGTCACGGCGTCGATGTGGAAGTGGTCGTGGGCCGGCGAGAGGCGGTACTGGGCGTGCGCCAGCTGACCACCGGCGGCCTGGGCCATCCTGCCGAGGCTCGTCCTTGCCGGCCGATTCTCCGGCACGTGCAGGCGGCGCGTGCTCTCGCCCGGAGCGCAGGAGCCGTCGTCCCGCGCGGCCGGCAGAGCCCCGGCGGCCGTCACGGTGAGGCTCACCGTCGCCGTGGCCGTGCGCTCGCTCGGTGCGGCCGGGTTCCAGGCGAGCACGTGCAGCGTGCGCACGCCCGGCGCCTCCCCCTCCAGGGAGCGCCGCACGTACAGCCAGCCGTCCGACGGCGACACCGACACGCCGCCGCCGGCGTCCCGCAGGCCGTAGGTCACCCCGGAGTCCCCGCCGCCCCCCCCGGCGCTCAGCCGCAGCAGACGCGTGTCGGGTGCCGTGTCGACGCCCACCGCCAAGCGGTACGTCTCCTGCTCGAACGCCAACCCGCTCCGATCTCCCGGCATCAGCACGGACAGGGTGAGGGTGGCCGTGAGCGCCGGCGTTCCGGCGTCCTCGGCCAACACGACGACCTGGCGGGAGACGTCGCCCGGCTCGGCGCTCACGGGCCTCAGGAGGGTGACGCTTCCGGTGGAGGAGTTCACCCCGAATCGGCCTCCGGCGCTCGACCGCAGCCGGTATCGCACCTGGCCGTTGGGTCCGGAGTCGGCATCCGTGGCCCGCGCCGCGTAAACGGCGGAGCCGACCCGGGCGCCGCGCGGCAGGGCGACGGCGGCATTGTGGCCGGCGGTAAAGGCGGGCGCGTTGTCGTTGACGTCGCCGACGAGGACGGTGACCGTGGCGGTGCCGTACATGGGAGGGTCCCCCGAGGCCGCCGTCACGGCGAGCGTCGCCACCGGCGCCGTCTCGTGGTCGAGCGGGGCCTGCGTTCGGATCGTGCCGCTCAGCGGATCCACCGCAAAGCGGCCGTGGGGGTCGCCCCCCGACAAGGTGTGACGCACGCGACCTGCGGGCGGCGGCGGCACGGGCGGCGCAGACTCGGCGTCAAGACCACGATTGCGTTTCGACGTGTCTCGAAAACAACGGGCGTTTATTTAATTCGAATCGTTCGAGCGCGCGCACAAAGAGGGTAGCACTGACCGGAGGTGCTGCTGGCGCGTGCGGTCCCCACGCTCGTGCCGACGCGCGCGTCCTCTGGCACGGACTCGGTGTGGCGGTCGCGCAAGAAGAGCGGCGCGGCACGACCCGGAGACACGAAGCTGACGCTGACGTTGGCCGCGGCGCGGGAGAGGCCCCCGGCTCCGCGCGCCCACACGGCCAGCGCTCGCACCGCGGCGGGCGCGTCCCCCGTGTGCCGAGCCAGCGAGATCACCCCTGCGGCACGCGCAGACAGATCCGCATGACACGTCAGGCGCGTGTGACGCAGGCGACGGTTGACAAACGGATCGTTGACGGGCGTTTACTTTTCCCTCGTTCCAATTTTCATGATTGCACGTGTTTGCCCATCTTCCTCAAGAGGGATCTCCTGAGGTTTTGCAGTCGCCGGTTACAGTTGTTGTATGTATGTGTGTACGTAAGCATGCATGGATGTTCAACTTCTTTCGCACCGTTACGGAGTCAACCGTACTTATCGGAGTTGCGTAGTAGTCGTTAACTTTCAGAAAATCTGGACTCTGATCCCAGCATGCAATGTGTTACTCTATTTCAAACGACGTCAAAGTAGTCTTTGCATGGCGAATACACATGGCAGTATTAACCAGGGCAGCTCTATGGATCCGAACCCGGAACGTCTGCAACAAGCGGCGAACGCGCTACCGCTAAGCCACGTCAACTGGCCATTCTGACAAATCTGGCAAAACCGCCCTCGGATCGAAGATAACTTTTTTTTTTGCCAGCAGGCGATAACAACCCCAGCGCCGTCACCGGCGCGTGCCGGCGGGGCGAGACGCACCGCTGGACGGATCCAGGCGGAACAGCGAGTCCTGGTTGCCGGCGCCGATGGAGTAAACGAGCGGGCCGGGAGAGCCGTCGGTGGCCACCACGGCGGTGACGCGCGTGCCGGCCGCACTCCCCCGCAGCACGTGCACTGTGTACGTGGCCGGGTAGAACTCGGGGGGCCGCGGGGCCACGGAGCCCAGCGACACGCGCACCAAGCTCTCAGAGGTGTGCCCAGCCTGGGAACCACACACACATACACACATACACACACACATACACACACATACACACTGTGTACTCACAGTCCCAACACACACATACACACTGTGTACTCACTGCCTCAACACACACACACTGTGTACTCACAGTCTCAACACACACACACACCACACGGTGTACTCACAGCCTCAACACACACACCACACGGTGTACTCACAGCCTCAACACACACACACATACACACAGTGTATACTCACAGCCTCAACACACACACACCACACTCACTGTATACTCACAGTCTCAACACACACACACACACCACACGGTGTACTCACAGTCTCAACACACACACACACACCACACTCACTGTGTACTCACAGTCTCAACACACACACCACACTCACTGTGTACTCACAGTCTCAACACACACACATACACACAGTGTATACTCACAGTCTCAACACACACACACCACACTGACTGTGTACTCACAGTCTCAACACACACACACACCACACTGTGTACTCACAGCCTCAACACACACACACCACACTGTGTACTCACAGCCTCAACACACACACACACCACACTGTGTACTCACAGTCTCAACACACACACACATACACACAGTGTATACTCACAGCCTCAACACACACACACCACACTCACTGTGTACTCACAGTCTCAACACACACACACACTGTGTACTCACAGCCTCAACACACACACCACACTCACTGTGTACTCACAGTCTCAACACACACACATACACACAGTGTATCTCCAGTCTCAACACACACACACCACACTGACTGTGTACTCACAGTCTCAACACACACACACACCACACTGTGTACTCACAGCCTCAACACACACACACCACACTGTGTACTCACAGCCTCAACACACACACACACCACACTGTGTACTCACAGTCTCAACACACACACACATACACACAGTGTATACTCACAGCCTCAACACACACACACCACACTCACTGTGTACTCACAGTCTCAACACACAACACACTGTGTACTCACAGCCTCAACACACACACACATACACACTGTGAACTCACAGTCTCAACACACACACACACCACACTCACTGTGTGGGTGCGTCTGTGGTGGAGATGGAGCAAGTGGTTAGCACACTGCGCTCTGAGCCTGGCTCTCAGGGTTTGCTACCAGGCCACTGCAAGTGTTCGTGATCGTCTGAACCGGTCCTGGGCTCCCCCTAGGTCGACTCGGCCTCAAGATGAGTAGCTGGTGCCGAGTGTAAAGATCGCCACTAGGGAGACAAAGGCGGCCGGGCCTGATGCCAACATCACTTTGCCCGAACAGCCTTTACAGGCTACACGGGGGACCTTTGTCTGTGTGCGCGTGGCCGGTGTGGCGTGGCAGGGCCCACCACCACCTCCACCATTTACCGCGTCGCGTGCGCGTGCGGCGAGGAGGTACGGAGCCGAGTCGGGCCCCAGGGCTCCCGTGGTGCAGATCCACCCTGAGGGGGGGTCGATCCTGAACGGGACGGGCCCCCCACCGTGCGCGCCGTCCAGGGAGAAGCTCACGGGGCCGGTGCCACCGCCGCCTCGGGGGAGGCTCGCGCGCACCTGAAGAGCGCCACGCACGTGCGGGGGCGGGGGGGACGGAGCGGAGAGAAATGAGCGCCGGGGATGGGAAACAGAACGAGCGGACCCCGGACGCAGCGGACCCCCCGGCAGCGGACCCCGGTGCGTTCGTGCAGCGGGCTGCGTGCGACATCCAGAGACGAGCGGTGGTGCAGTGGGAGGGGGGTCAGTGACAGATAAAGCTCGCGCGGGGCCTGCAAGCACATGTTCTAAAGGGGCCCTAAAACTAAAACAAACTCGTAAATATTAAAACATATCAATTTTTTTACTTGCGCAGTATAGTAATTGTATTTATTCACTTGCTATGTACAGCCAAATAATACGACGAATCGCTCACCTTAGACATCCAGTCGTTCATCAAAGTCGAAGGCGGTATAGTACTATGGTAATAGAGCAAGTGCAGAATCACTGAACCGGAATTGATAGCTTGAAAGCATTTAGCGCGGGGCCCTTGAAAGTGCGGGGCCCGTAGCTACTTGTGCTACGAGGATAATCCGGCACTGGCGGTGGTGTGATCCAGCACTGGGGGGGGGGGGGGGGGGGGGGTCGAGGGTTGGTGGATTGCCATCTCCCCTGCTAGCCGAGGTATGGCAGTGCAAGGCGGAGTGTTCAGGGATTGAGTGGTTACCTCCTCGCATATTCTTAGGTTTTTTCGGTATTCTTAGGTTTTTTCGGTAAAGTCACGTAGGTAAAAAAATCTAAATTAATAAAAGTAAAATAAAAATAAAATAAAAATCACGACGTTTCGGAGGCAACACAAGCTTCCGTCTTCAGGTGGAACCGTCACAGCACACTTGCTCCTGTTTCCTCCCATACGTATCAATAACTCTTTAATGCATTTAGCCAAACATACAGATGTAGGACCACAGAGCTGGGGCAATTGTTGGCAGCGCTGGTTCTGGCTGCCTTGCTGCTTGTCTGCATCTAAAACTGTGGTGCACTACAAATTCCACCGAAATCTGTCGACGCAATTGGATGACGACGCTACAAAAACTTTTGAACACATTCCTGCATCACGCACGAGAGCGTCGAGTACTTGATGCCAAGGATCTGCTCATGTTAGAATTAGGGTGGCGCAAACGCACTGACAAACGAGGTGGGACAAATAATAGCGACGGGACATCGACAGCGAGACACAAATCACGGTCGATGCTTTAATTGAACCGCGACCCAGAATTACGCCAATTCATTCGCTTGCCAGTCCGTGAGATACATCCGTTACGTGGCCGAAGGGTTCCCTGAGCTGAGCATCTCATGGGTAATCCATTTGAATAAACGTCGGCGAAAGGTTCTGCCCCCATTGTTTAACCTTGCTCATCTCACAGCCCCGGCAAACAACGCTCTGCTGATGAGACAGCGAATGTCAAAACCGGTCCAGATTTTGCTGCTTGTAACCAACGCTCCTGTAAAAAAAAACTGCACTCCCAGAAGGTCGCGTGGCAGATGGGATGTGTTAAACAACAAAAAAGAACACCCCCCCACTTGGATGTTTTTACGTGCAGAGGACAGCTATGGGACGGGATGCGTCTCATCTGCTCAGTCGGTGCGCCACTTTCATTCCGTACAAGGACGCGGGCGGTGATTTGAGACGCGGACGATGATTTGAGAAACAGAGAGACAGAGAGAGAACACGGCTGGTGCCGTGGTCCCCCCGAGGAAGCTGCGGCCCTTCCCTGTCCTTGCACCGCTTTGCGCAAATCCCAGGGCCGCCGGTCTTCAAAGCTCAAGGACCTCACGCCGCATCCGCGAGAGCACGTGCCCAATGGACTACAAAGACAAAGATCCCCCAGATAGCCTTAGCAGATTGTAGGGGCAAGTGCTGTTAGCGAGCACCTATGAAGGCCGGAACGGCACACGAGGGGGTGGGTGGCCAGCACCACGCCCGACCGCCTTTGTCTCCCCAGTGGCGATGTTTACACACCGCGTCAGGTACTCATTTGAGGCTGAGTCGACCTAGGGGAGGCCCTGGACCGGTTCAGATAATCATCACTGGTGTTGGCCGTGATCGGGAATCGAACCCGGGTGGCCGGGTTTATAGCGCAGCGCGGTAACCGCTGCACCACCGCTCCCCAAAGTAAACTACCCCCCAACCTCCCTCCCACTCTCCTCTCTGTTAATTCTCTGTTAATTCAACCCACAGTGAACAGCACAAGGGGGATGCCGCCCCCAGTCGGGGGAATTGAGAGCACAGTGGAACTGCAGTCTCGAGGCCATCACGAAGACTGCCTCTGGTGTAGGGAAATCGGTTTCAAAGACAATGCGTGGTGTACACGATCAGAGCGCGTGTCTGTGTGTTTTTCGTGGGTTTTTTTTCACCACAAGTACGCGCGGTTCATGCGGATACTTGATTCCTCCCAATTGTTGTTTGAACATCTTGCCACCCCCTGTTGTGTTGCCCGAAAGGGTCAGACCTGCTGCTCTTCCGCATACTTTGAGACTGGCAACAAAAAGGTCCCGTAGATAAAATCCCCGAGGTGCAGTAGTTGTGAATCTCGACCCCCCCCCCCCCGCCAGCTCTGTCCACCCAGCAGAGCTAGGCGGGGTGGGGGGTCATCACGGGCAAGTGAATCTGCAGGTCGCGACCGCTCAGGGTTTAGTGCGGGGGCTACGGCCTTCTCTTCCAAGACGTCTGGTCGGCGTGGAAGAGTAGGCCAAGTGCCATCGAGAGCCCCCTCTCGCGGATGGCCCTTGCTCCCGCCACTGCGCAAGGGGTGGCCTCGGCGTGGCAGCCGAACGCACGGACACGCAGAGCACCCACCCGCATCGTCGTGCCAAAGCGCATCTGTCATGTTCTGTTTCGCTTTATTACCTCTTGTCTATCTACTGCTGGATGAAGCCCCCTCCGCCGCGCGTGAGTGAACCCCTGGGAGCTGCTGCGGGGAGCCTTAACCGCGGCCGCATCGTCTCAAGATGTAAAACGGGGACCGTGGGGGAGGAGGTTCAATGACTGCAGCCGCAGCTGTTTGCAATCTGATACGGCGCGGCTCAGGACCGGTGGTGTTAGTGGGGAGGGGGGGTGTAGTGTGGGTTTGGGGGTAGCTCACTCGCATTCCTGTCTGGCTCAGCTAAGTCCTGCCAGGGGGAGAGGCAGGGGCAAGGGGAGGCAGGGAATAACGGGCGGCGGCGGGGGGGGGGCAATGGAAGAGAATTTCTCCGCATTCCTGCCTGGTTGCATGAAGGTTTAAACGGTAGGGAGGGGGGGGGAGAGGTGAACGTTGGGGGGAAACCTGGCGAATGGCAGCGTGTGTGCGTGCGTTGTCGTGTAGGGAGCGGTAATGAAGCGGTTAGCGCGCTGCGCCGCTACGAACCTGGCGACCCGAGTTCCGATTCCCGCTCCTACGGCCAACACCAGTGACGAATATCTGAACCGGTCATGAGCCTCTCCTAGGTCGACTCGGCCTTAAACGAGTACCTGGTGTGATGTGTAAACGTTCGCCCCTGGGGAGACAAAGGCGGCCGTGCGTGGCGATGGCCAACCACCACTTTATATGCCGTGTTGGCATTCATAGATGCTTGCTAACAGCGCTTGCCCCAAATGTATGTTTAGGCTATAGGGGCATCTTTGTATTTGTGGGGAGCGGTGGTAAAGTGGTCAGTACCCTGAAAGCCGGGAAAATCCCAATTAGATTCCTGGACGTTGATAACATCACCGGCACATCCTATCTGACATTGACTTTGGTCTCTCGTGAAAGCCACTTCAGTCTTAAGTGAGTAAATGTGTGGTGCAGTTGTAAAATGATCAGCCCCCTGAGATGCAAATACGACTGGCCATGGTTTTTGACCACACCATGCGATTGTGTGCCACGCTGTGGCCTTACTAAGTCCGCAGGAACAGCACTTGCGCTGACGGTCAACAAAGGTTAATGCGGCGTAAGTGTCCTCGTGTCTCTGTTTCAGTGCGTGTCGGCGTGATTGTCTTTGTGTCTGTATCACAACACGGCGCGCCTGCTGAAACAACGCACGTCTGCACGAACGAGAGACCTGGATGAACACGGAGAGAAGAAACAGGCACAGAACAGGCGCTAGACACGAAGTGGGAACGACGTTGCTTTGAATTGTGCCAACCCTGGTGCACTCTAAATATCGCCGTACTTAATGGGTTCAAACCCCCACGATTTTAAATTGTGAAACTGTAAATGAAACGTCGAACAACAATCAAAATGTACGACTTAAGCACGATAAAGCAGTCCATACAAGAATAGTCATACACAAATATCTAAATTACCGGTGAAATAAAAACAACCTGTAGTGAATTTCGATTTAAGCTTTCGTGACTGCAGGGATTCATATTCTTGGATCTTTAGGTAAAGTCACGTAAAAGGTAAATAATAAAATAATACAAATATATTTTATTATTATTTCCCTTCTACATGACTTTACCGAAAGATCCAAGAATATGAACCTGTAGTGAGATATGTCCTGGACTAATTTAAGCAAAATCAGCAAGACGAATTATATGACTGCGTATGGCGGCAATCTTTTCAGGAGCTAAACGCCAAAATGTCGAGGTCTGGCCACGTCGCGAGAGGGTTTCGGGAGAGAGCGTTGGTGTCGTTTTGCTGTTCCTCCTCCATTGAAGGAGGGCAGACCGAAGTGGTTCACTGTATGCGACATCGTTTTTGTTTTCATGGCCACAATCGCACCACTGTGGCTTGTTTTACATGATCCTAGACGTCTACCTATCTCTGTGAACCTCTATAGATCTCCTTGAGCCTCTATGTATCTCTACGAGTCTCTAAGTATCTCTACGAGTCTCTATGGGTTGACTATACGGTCGATAGTTTTGGTTGTGTCGCCGGTCCCCCTTGCACCCTCACCTGACTGACATTACACTGACACAGCTGTACTGCAGGCGCCTCACGGCATTATTTTTCCACAATGGTACGGATTAAGTATTTAGCGCTGCGCATTACACAGCCTCGCATCGAACTGGGAGGAGCCGTGTCCAACAGAGAGGGCCCTTGCCTGTGGCAGTTCACCAG